CAAGTTTTGGTGTTTTGGTTTTTCCGACTTTGTAGACTGAGGTGGTTAGGTGCGGGAGGCGGTAAGGGTGACTTATCCTGTTTCCTACTCTGATAACTGTCATCAGCCTTAATGAATATTCTATGTTTCAATATGTGCTTCGTGATTCGGAAGGTATTGCTTGAGTTGGGGATTAGCCCGATCCCAAATACCTGATTTTCCGCTCATGCTAGTTCATGGGACTGACTTTTACTATTCAAGGAGAACTACAGGGAAGCGTGAGTCCGTTCTTGCTTCTGAAGTATTTAAACACCTAATTTAAAGGCTTTAATCGTGAGTTAGTTAGTGTTGTTCGAATAATTCAATGCTTACATTACTGATTACGTCATTGTGATAAGGTTTCAAGTCAATGAAAGAGAGTGAATTTGCTGGCGATAAAAGGGGTATAGTGATGATGAGTGATAATTTGAATGGATATCTTTTATATCCCCATATGTATTCAACCTTCACTTCTGTTCTTGACTTCATTTAGTATTCATTGATTTCAATTTGTATATGTTTATTATTCTATTGTTTTTTTAGATAATTTTTAATGTTATCATAAACCAAAACGATTACCCAAGTCTACTGAAAATTATGTAACCATTGTTTTTATATCCATTTTAAAGATACGTTGGCCAAAGGAAAAGAGACCAAAAACAAATTACATCTAGAAATGGAGACAGATATGGGAAGAGCGAATGATAATTGGGTAGAAATAGAAATGAAGGCTCAGTTAAGAGTAGGCTGAAGAATGCTGGTTGGTGGCCTATGCTCCACTGGGGGGTAACAGGCGTAAGTAAGTAATTAAAGATACGTTGTAATTAAATTAAACTATAAAGCTGATAAGAATAGATTTCCGGTAAACAACTTTGCATTAAGAATTTTCGTCTAAACTTTTAAAAGGCTCTCTGTAAAGATGATTACTATATTAATTTTGAACAAACAAAGTGAATAATAAGAAAATCTAATTTATCTTATGTATAAATCCTATTTTGAAGTAAAACGACAAATGAATACTAGCTAATATTATAAACTATGTTCAAATAATACGATTACCAAGAGTTCTAAATTGCTTTGCTAAAAGCATGACTGATGCTGAACAAATGAACCAAAGTGGTCAGTCAGCATTAGTTTGTTTTTTAATTAGATTAATGCAATATAAATATTGTCATGAAGTAATGTAATCTAATCTTAGATTGGATGAAACAAAATGGTTGTTCAAGGTAATCCCATGTTCAATAATTCTATAATAAAATTACAGAAATATCAAGCAACAACCAACTAATAAAACTGGTCATCAACCAAATGATGTTCAGTTATCTTATCGTTTAAGGATTGTAGTTTTTTGAGACAGACACAATGACAATTTTATTCTGTTATTTTCCATGTCTGAATGATAATATTTAATTTAATTCGCATTTGATATTTTCCCTATATTTAAATTTCGTTTATAGAAACTAGTAACAGATCACAACTTGAAACTACAAACTACATTCATTTTCATTGACATAAATTTGTAAAACAAACGGTGCAGACGTTTTGTTTAAACGAAAAGGTCATTTCAAATGATTCATCTATTGACGTATGGACAAAGAATGAAATCAGTTAATATTTGGCGAGTTTCAAATACAGCATTCATTGACAAAGGAAATCATATTCTTTTCTATTCATAGAATTTATTTCTAAGCTTTTCTTTTACATAATCGTAAAACATTTATAAATGATGTTCTTTTTTTAACACAAAAGTTAAACGAAACTGTAATTTCTAGTAATTCGTTATGATAATACCAAAAGAGTTACCATTCGTTTTGTAGAGAGAATTGTAGAAAGAACTTGTGCAATTGACTCATACTTCGGCTGACAGACGGAAGTTTTGTTTACTCCTCAATTAACTCAAGCTTGTAAAAGCCACTCGAGCTCTCTGTATCCGTGCCAAGGTATCCATACCAGGTCATCAGGGCTGATGAAGCCCTGAAGCTGAAATCCACTGATTTTTTCTAACCTTTTGGTTTAAGTCATTCATAGTTATCACTGCTGTTTCTTCAACTCATCCTAAGTTACCTAGAAGTGGATATTGCTGGTATGATTGACTGTATGTCGCTCTAGTTTTCTCTAAAATATATTCTTTACTTTTGTTATCAATAAATCGAACTCCAAGGAAGCTCTATAAGGATGGCTACGTGGTCCATTTGAGTTCATCGTTCAGCCGATTGTGGGACTAGCTATCTAGACGATAATTCTTGCAATGCTTAAAGTTGGTGTTTGTCAGAAAAAGGCGGTTATAGGTGAGTCGGTTTTGCTCTTGTTCTGAATGCTCTACCTACACCAGTGAGTCCACGGGAAGTAACAATGAAGTCTTTAGATACACAAAGGATATGTCAGGTTGGTCTTTTATTTTGACAAGGTGAAGCCAAGTGGATGACTGTACTTGGATCCTGTATCCAAATCTCGGAGGCATAGTATATCTCTATGGAGCGAGATTCTAGAGTCCTAGTTAATGAAGCGTGCTGTCTTATTTGGCACAAGGCTCAAACATCAAAAGCTCCAACATGTGGCTTACAACATGGTTTCAGGAGACTAGGAACAAAATGTTTTGAACTTGAATCATTAGCATTAACTGCGTAGTGATAAAGGTATGCGAGAAGGGTCAGCCATGGATGTGATGTAGTTATAACGATATGGGGGAGGGATTTAATTGTGAACAAGTTGATCTCGTGTGCTGTTAAGGTTATAAGTACGGTTTTCACTTCTCGGCTTCCCACACCGTGAAGAGGTGTTTCTTGAGGGACCTGAAATGGAAACTATGTTTGTGTTGGCCCTACTGACCTGGAAGCATGAATGCGGAGCCAAAGGAATAACTTTCTATGGCCGTTCACTCACGATCGTTTTGTGAAGAGCGTTTGATGAGTTAGCTCCACTCTTCAAATGACCTCACTTTTAGAAGCGGAAATCCGTGAGGTAAGGTGAGGTGTGACAGTTTTAAGATCGACCTCATTTTATCGTTCTTCCTTTGTGAGAGAGCAGCATCGTTGCGGGTTCTGGTTTTCCGAGAGAAACTCTTTTCAAAAGTACACCCCTCTACAATCACTAGTGTGACTTTCCACTCAGGTCACTGGTTTAAGTCTTACTGTTTTCAACCTAGCAGCTTAGCGTGGCCAGAACCAAAGAAACATCTATTTGGGTCAATATAGTTCACTTGAATCATTATGATAAGCAAGCCGGACTCCATGTCAAGGCTGAAGATACATTCGTGGGGAGTAAACCAACATGCATAACTATCGGCCGACAAATATTTTTAAAGCTGCCGATAGGATAATGAATAAGAGTTGCCGATTAAGTTTTTATCTATTTACTCATGGAAAAACTGATCACTAAATCCACACCGTAGTTTCATTGAAGCTAGATCCTTTAAAACCTGTTACACTGACCTCATTACTTTAATCTTTACTCAACGTAGCTTAGCGTTAGTACCATACTCTAACGTTTCTAAAAGCTTCAACATGGTTGATCACCAGATTCTTGTAGACAAACTCATATTTATGAACTAAGAAACCCTCTGCTTTCTCGGTTTAATTCTCTTCTCAGATGTCGGTGTGTCAACAGTAAAACATTCAATTCTATATCTTTTCTCTACATGAGTTGATAAATTTTCAAAAATTGTAGTAACTTGCCATAATATGTTCGTGAAATAAAATCAATATCAGTATTTGTTTGTTGCCTCGATGTTTACTTCTTTTCTGACACTAATTTTGAAATGTTTGTACTATTGACTATATACTACTAGATGTATTCTAAATGCCTCATTGTAACAGATGAACAAACTTACTAAAAGTTTTTTTTTAATTTTTTATGTTATACACCTACACTATCTCTGGTTGATCGGATTAATATCTATCTACAAAATAACTTAACTTTTGTATAACGGGAAACCTACCAGAGACATTTTTGGTATTGTGATTCCGTGTTTTCCGTTTAGTTCTATTTCCTTTAATTGTAGATCATTGTAATTATTCTGTAACATTACTGAAATCAACCTCTGATATTTTATTTATACATGCACAAGATATCCTTTTCTTCGTGCAAAAATAATGATTTCCAAATGCTGTCTCACATTATTTTGACTGTTGTGACGAATACCATTTCTGAACAATTAATGAAGCACATCTATTCACATCATGTTCTCTACCTGTAACATGAATGAACCTGATAATTCCTGTAATCTGGCACGAATTCTGTAATTATTTCCATAATATTTCTACTTATTATATCCCTATGCTTGTGTCACTATCAAACTAGACATATTTATCAACACTAAGTTGAATTTATTTTCTGTACAATTTGACCTGTTATTGAAATATTATTGAACTGAAATTAGAATCACGATAACAATGTAATTTTCTCTACCATTTCAAGATAATAATGTAACTTTAATAGTTGATAATTTGTTCGTGTATTAGTTTTTAGTCATTAGTTGAAATGTATCAGTATAAAAACAGAACAAAAAATATAAAACAATCGGTTCATTGAACAAAATTCATAACTATTGGTAATCATTGATATACATAAACAAAATATACATTATGTATGCATATTTACAATTTACTGTTTATGAATTAATTTATGTTCACATATACATAAAATGTGTATGTTTAAATTAAAATTAAACATCAAATCAGTCAGGTTTATGCTTGAAATTTTGTATAAATTATATTCACATGTCCTATTAACTCTGTCACTATTTCACTTTATGTTTTATATACAATTAACATAATTCGTCCTTTGGTGTTATAATGAAACAGACTATGAATTGATTTAACAGTATGCGTCAAAATCATATCGGTTTCAAGAGCTTGGAATCTTTGGAATTTACTAATAGATTAAAATAACATTGTAATGTTGAAAGCATTATTATCAAATCACTGGAATTAGCACTCAATAATATTATCGTGTTATTACTTGGATTTGTTACAGTGATAGAGATGGCATTATCTACAAAATATAATCCATTAGTGGTAATGAGTTACTCAATAGTATATAATACTTTATTACTGACATGTAAGTAGAATATTATAATGATTTATACACACACTTCTTAATGTTCAAGGTATCATCAGGCTTACACATTCGCAAACAGTATTTATTCCTGAAGTAAGTAATCATATTTTATAAATTAAAAAAAATTATTAAATTATCTATTACAGTTTAAAAGATTTTATTGATTTTCATCAATATAAAATTCTAATCTTCAAGTTCAAACATACTTAAATATATTGACAGTTTTTGAATTTTCAAAGTCTTCATTCACATTTGTCAACTAACAATCACATTAAGTGATATCCAAGGTTTCTGTTTCACTTAAGTTTAGTCAAACAGAACTGACAGAAATCAACTTTAGAACAAAGCTATTCAACTTGTTTAGATTTGAATGTTCCTTATTTTGAAGTGACACGATTTCATTTGAAATCTCGAAATGTTAGAAAGTATAGAATATAGAGAAACATGAAATTATTACATAACAATATACTTTAGGTAAATAACTGTGATAAATTAAATGTCACAGTGCATAAATTTTCGATTCAAAATGTTTAAAAAATGTCGGTACTATGTGTCTAAATGATTTTTACTAGGATAACATGACCATATCATTAGTACTATTGTTATTATTATTTGGTGTTTCCTCTTTTGTCCAACCCTTATCTTCAATAAGGCTGTTCTGAGGGTTTTCAATTGAATGTTATCTATAGGAACGACTGGAAACAGTACATATACCATCAATGGTTAAAACATCAGTACTAGGATATAATTCAAATATATTACTTCGTACACAATAAAAAGTTTTTGCATTGAATCAACGCTGAGACTAAGTGAGTGTTAGGATATTCATCCAATATCCTAAGATAATTGTTTGTAATTTCACATACTTCAAATGTTAATTCGCATTGCTCGTCCTGACTATCAATATCACTGCAATGTTGTTTCTTGTTCGACCTAACTGTATAAATATGCATTATCTGTAACGTTTTATGACCTGGATCGTTAGCCTCTTCTGGACTCGGACCTCGTACTTTCTGGATGTTTATAGAATACAGGTTTTACTTCATATCAAGTCGTCTTCTTTTACTCAATAGGGGTTTGATACGTTCGAATTAGAGTAGCCTATTGTGTGGCCGGGTCATTGATCCTCGCTCTCGTTCACCGACCAAGGGAACTCGTAACTGTTCAAGCATATCAATTGACGTGTTTATGTGCGTGCATCATAGTGGGTATGGCTGAACACCTATCTACAAAAATACCAAGATTCACAGGTGAAAAGGAATTAAATCCCAATGGATGAGTTCCTTCACGAGATACAATGCCAATTTAAGATAAATCAACCAATTGTTAATCATGAAAAAATTAGTAAACATTTAAATAGGGCACAATATCTATATAAATGTTTATTTATGCATCAAATAAACACCTAATTTCTTAGAATTTGAAACGGACAAAAATCCTCGATAAAAAATTTAAAGAGTGACTAAAATTCGCCCTTGTACCATGGTTTTATCGATTTTGTTCAAACATATTTTTGAAAAAGGATCCTATTAAACTTTTACTAGTTTTTGAAGTCTCAGCTTAGAAAAGTTATTTTTACCATCATTTTTTAAATTACAGGCCCTTATTTTGTTCAAATGATCTTTTTCAACAAATATACGTTGATTAGTTAAGTTTTATAATCACTGAATTCAAAAACAGAGATGACGTATTTTCACTGATTAAAAGTGGTGCTGATTAATGAATCATGCACATTCTAAAACTTCTAGATTTATGATGGGCTGTTGCTTATAAGAGATTAATATTGTCGTTACAAAGATATAAGAGCTATTCACTATGGATTAATAATGTCCCTAATGTTAGCTGTTGATTTTTATAAAGTTTACCAGATACTGTCTCCTTACAATATTAAAAAGGAGATAAACAGAAGCTGACCCTAAAACTATTAGATTTAACCTTGCCCCTCTAATTACCGTCGCCGACAGGAAAGCCTGGAAATCTTAGGTTAACACATCAGAAACCTTTTTCATTAAAGAAGAGACTTGTGATAGGCTTTAGGTTGTTGTCCTTCGAGCTCTGGTGTTATGACAACAAGTTCACATAACCACTAACAATCCAGTCCCCACTCCAGGTTCTTCAGGAATAATATTTCTTCATGTTATGAAAATCTGGAAGCGATAACCTGTAACAGTATTCAGGATATCCGTGTACGCGATTAATACCTTCGTCACTTTTTTGATACTTTTTCCAAATTATCCTCATCTCTCCTGTGGCTTATGACACGCGTACTTTTATGTCGAGCCCACAGGGCTTGTCCCAGCCCTTGAACAAATTAACTAATCCCTTCTTCTCGAGTTACTCATACGTCTTTCCACTGCCGATTGTCCGTTTATCTCTTGGTTGCTTTTATTCGAGTATGTGTATGCACCGCTTACTTCGGTTATTACACGCCTAGCTTATTTTGTCTGACTATAAATGCTTAGTCATGCCTCATTACATTGAGTTCGAATCTTTTTAATTGTATGCTTTTTCAATCTCATGTCTATCTGCATGAACGGAAACTGAAGGAAGATTTATTTCATAGCATATTTAATTGTTCCGAGTCAGTTAGCGAGCCACTAAAATGTTGAGCCTTACTTCAAGTTCAGCGCAGCCACTAAAGGCCTCATCAACCTCCCCATGTACAGCTTGTGCTAACGACTTAAGTTTACGAGATGTTACTATTGACTTCTATTCCTAGAACCGTATTGTACATGACTCATCGATGCTTAACCGGACGCATGATGCTGAATGGAGTAGAAATAGGCTGGGATAAAGCTAAGGGTGATCATACTACGTCGTAGAGTCATTTTAAGTCACTGACCATTAAAATGTGTCATACTGATAGGTACAGGCTACGCAGTTGAGATTATGTGATCGTCGTAAACGAATTTTGTAGATGTCACATCATATGTGTTTGCTGTTTGTTTATCTTCAGATTTTGAGTAATAAATTTATTTTATACATTGAATTGCACGAATTAACTTTCTTCTTGGATCACGTTCTCCTCACCTTATCATTTTTACTTTAACTGATCCTACTAATTCTAATTATTTGGTATTCAGTTTGAGCATTTCATCTTGCTGTACTGTAATGATGCAATAATTTGCGGACATTTATCCCGAATTTCGATTTTCTTATGACTGACTGACCAATCATTTAAACTTATCCGTTGACAAATTCAGATTTTAATTTGAACAAACTCACTTATTAATGCGAAAACTAGTGTATAAATTCGAGCTGGAGTATTTGAATAATAATTATGTCTAAATTAGTTGTCCTAATTTATTGATTTATCACTTTGCTGATAGTGAATGAGAACTTATCCATCAAATAGTTATTATATTGTCATTCTAATTATTGACTGTTCTGTTCTACAGTTATGTATTTAATGTAACAACCAGAACTATTAAACAAGTCAAGTCATGATGTACAGCTTTTATTTATTCACAAACCAATTAAGCATCATATCTATAAACCTATGTTTTTAACATAACTAATACTTGGATAGTATCGGGTCCGTCTACTAATCTTCGAGCACCCGCAACTGAGTGTTGAATTAAAAGACGGTACTTGCAAGCAGATACGATTTTTATTTTACAGACATTCTTTTGTGATTTGACCTCACCCAATAATATAAAGCAGATTCATGATCATAAGCAATCACTATGTGCTCACAACTACGTTATATATGAAACACAACTTAGTAATTGGTTATTAATTAATTAACAATAACTCAGAGAAGACGAAACATATGACAACAGTTATGTGCTAAAAAAAGCTTACAAATGCCAGATTATACGAATACCATTATTCAAGTGTCTAAGATGTATACAATACGAATACAAACAATAATAAGATAGTTCCACCCTCTCTCACTATTTTGCCATTAATAACAAAGTTATTCTTCATAGAAATAACACTTGTTTATTAGGCTTCCCTTTCGAATTTCAGCAGATTACTTGCATCGAAATCCGAAACAGTAACTTAGTCTATTAATGTGTGGTGATTAGTAGAAGTAAATTAACGGTGGGTATTTCGTAACATTGATTTCTGTGACATTTATTAACTAAAGTAACGTTCCCTGCATAAATAATAGCTTAAATTTCCTGAAATCTAAATTTTTACTGAAAGTGTACCGTGACCCATTAGTTCAATAAGTAATATACCAGTAGCTGAATCACTAATGTTAGAGTTTGAGACACCGTGGAATCACCAACCTAAATGGAAGTACATTCTCAGCCACCACTAATATATAAAATATACTTGAACTCTAGGAAACCTTGCTAATAGCCTTTCGGTCCTCAAAGATTTACTATTGAATTCCGAAATGAAAACAGAAGTCAAGTAATATGGAAGACGTTTTACTTCTTAAGTTAGTTTTGGTACGGAAAACAAGGGTACTTTATAACTTACTTACTTACGCCTGTCACCCCCAATGGAGCATAGGCCGCCCACCAGTTTTCTCCAACCAACTCTGTCCTGGGCTTCCCTCTCCAGTTCTGTCCAATGTTTGTTCATTCTTCTCATATCTTTCTCTATTTCTCGGCGTAGTGTGTTCCTTGGCCTTCCTCTTTTCCTTTTGCCTTGAGCGTTCCATGTGAGGGCTTGTCTCGTGACGCAGTTAGGTGCTTTCCGCAATGTGTGTCCTATCCACTTCCACCGCTTCTTCCTGATTTCCTCCTCCACTGGAATCTGGTTTGTTTTCTCCCACAGTTCGTTGTTGCTGATAGTGTCTGGCCAACGAATTCGAAGTATTTTGCGTAGACAACTGTTCATAAACACTTGTATCTTCTGGATGATGGCTTTGGTAGTTCTCCATGTTTCCGCTCCATACAGGAGAACTGTCTTGACATTTGTATTGAAAATCCTGATTTTGATTTTGGTTGAAAGTTGTTTGGAGTTCCAGATATTTTCCAACTGTAGAAATGCAGCCCTTGCTTTGCCAATCCGGACCCTCACATATGCATCGGATCCACCTTGGTTGTCGATGATGCTGCCCAGATATGTAAAGGTGTTAATGTCCTCCAAGGCATCTCCATCAAGAGTGATTTGGTTGGTGCATGTTGTGTTGCATCGGAGAATTTCGCTTCTTCCTTTATGTATGTTGAGACCTACTGCTGCAGAGGCTGCTGCTACACTGGTCGTCTTCTCTTGCATTTGTTGTTGCGTGTGCGATAGAAGAGCCAGGTCATCTGCGAAGTCCAGATCGTTCAGCTGCGTCCTAACTGTCCAGTTGATACCGTGCTTCCCTCCAGATGTCGACGTCTTCATAATCCAGTCGATGACCAGGAGAAAGAGAAAGGGTGAGAGTAAGCAACCTTGCCTGACACCGGTCTTCACCTCGAAAGAGTCTGTTAGCTGTCCTCCGTGCACAATTTTGCAGTTGAATCCATCATAAGAATTCCGTATGATGGTAACTATTTTCTCAGGCACATCGTAGTGTCGAAGGAGCCTCCACAGTGTTTTCCTATCCACACTACCGAATGCTTTCTCGTAGTCGATGAAGTTTATGTAGAGTGGTGAGTTCCATTCAATTGATTGTTCCACAATGATCCGTCATGTAGCAATTTGGTCAGTACACGATCGATCCTTACGAAATCCGGCCTGTTGATCTCGAAGTTTGGCGTCTACGAAGTCCTTCATTCTGTTTAACAATACTCTGTTGAAGACTTTGCCTGGTATTGAAAGAAGAGTGATGCCTTTGTAGTTCTCACACTTGCTGAGATCGCCTTTCTTTGGTATTTTGATCAGGTATCCTTCTTTCCAATCTGATGGTACTTGTTCCTCATCCCAAATCTTGTTGAAGAGGATGTGAAATATTTTTGCAGTTGCTTCTACATCTGCTTTCATTGCCTCTGCTGGAATGTTGTCTGGTCCTGCTGCTTTGCCGCTCTTGATTTGTCTGATGGCCATACTGATCTCCTCAATCGTAGGTGCGCCAATATTAATTGGGAGGTCCTTGGATGCTGCTTCGATGTTGGGTGGGTTCAATGGAGCTGGTCGATTCAATAGTTCCTTAAAGTGCTCTACCCACCTATTTCGCTGTTCTTCAGTGTTGCTGATTATTTTCCCTTCCTTGCTTTTCACTGGTCGTTCTGGTTTACGATAGTTCCTGGCGAGCTTCTTTGTTGTTTCATACAATTGTCTCATGTTTCCTTCTCTTGCAGCCTTTTCCGCCGTCATTGCTAGATCTTCCACATATTTTCGTTTGTCAGCCCTGATGCTCTTCTTCATTTCCCTGTTTGCTTCTGTATACTCGGCTTGCGCCTTAACTTTCTCTGCTCTTGTTCGGCTGACATTCACTGCTGCCTTCTTGTTCCTCCTTTCTTCAATTTTTTCAAGAGTATCAACAGAGATCTATTTCTTGTGATGGTGCTTCTTGCGACCAAGGACCTCCTGACATGTTGAAGTGATTGCCTCCTTAATCCCTTTCCAATTGTTCTCCAATGTTGTTTCCTCTCCATTGAGTAGATCCTGAAAGGCCTGGAACCTATTGGTGAGGGCTATCTTGAATTCTATCCCGAAAAAAGGCTGTATTAAACTTGTGTGCTGTTGTGTGCCCCGTTGTCCAGTGCTTCTTTAGCTTCAGTTTCATTTCGGTGATTAGCAAATGGTGATCTGAGGCTATATCAGCTCCTCTCCTGGTTCTCACATCCTCCATGGTCCTTCTGAACTTTTTGTTTAAACAGATATGGTCAATTCGTTTTTGAGTAGTGTGGTCCGGTGAAATCCATGTGGATTTGTGAATGCGTTTGTGCGGGAATATTGTGCCACCGATGACCAGTTTATTGAAGGCACATAGGTTTGCAAATCTCTCACTGTTTGCTTTCCTTTCTCCCAGTCCATGTCATCCCAGGATGTCTTCATATCCAATGTTGTCCATTCCAACCTTGGCATTCAGGTCTCCCATAAGAATCGTCAAATCCTTTGGTGAACATTTCTCGACGATTGACTGCAGCCTTTCGTAGAATTGATCTTTAACGTCGTCATTGTAGTGATTGGTAGGTGCATAACATTGGATGACGTTCATTGTAATGTCCTCTTTCTTTGTTTTGAAGGATGCTTTAATGATCCTCGGTCCATGAGATTCCCATCTTATCAGTGCCTTTTGTGCATGTTTGGACAGCATCAGTGCAACTCCTTGTGTATGTGAAGCATTTTCCTCTTCATGACCAGAGTATAACAGCAGTTCCCCTGAAGCAAGTCTCAGTTGTCCTACCTGTGTCCAATGCGTTTCACTGATGCCGAGCACCTCGAGGTTGTATCTTTTCATTTCTGCCGCAACTTGAAATAGTCTTCCAGTCTCCCACAATGTACGAACGTTCCATGTACCTAAAAAAATGGTTGCTCTGGTTGTCACAAGAGTCAGCGGCGTCGTGACTTCCGAGGGAACTCGGCTTTCATCACGAGACGTCATAATTCTTCTTCCAACTGCCAGGGCAGAGTTAAAATGGTTTGGATTATTTTTTCTGGTTAGCGTTTTTTTGGCAAGTGAGATTTCGACGGAATGAGGTCGCCAACCCCATGTCCAACCCTCCTCCTTTATCCGGGCTTGGGACCGGCAGTAGCCCCTAAGGTTCTACTGGTGGAGTTGGTAATTTATAAGCTTCTTGAAAACTAAGGAAATATTCAACTGTCAAATCCTTCGTTTTTTACAATTCTTCTGAGATGGTGGAGAAAATTTGTAGCTCAGATGGATGACTGTGGTGGTGTTTGGTTCTCTGAGCTGGTTGTTTTGGTTGTGAAGCTTTCATCGTTCTTCTGAACAAATTTTTCTAAATGTTTACAAAAAACACCAACTGACAGAAGTATTTTCAAGATTTTCCTAAGTCTTAGATACTTTTGTGGGACGATTAAAGGTTCCGAACAGGATTAGGCGTAAACGCTAAATCTTATTGACCATAACTTAGTATTATTTAAACGTGATCACGGACACTAAGAAAGCATCTATTGAGTGGATTCATTTTCCAACATTTTTGAATGAAAGTACTGTTTTTTTACGCCCTCGATAATTTATCTCTACTTCTACGCTTAAAACAGGCAGGTAGGAAAATAATTAGTTTGTGTTTATAAACCTGTTAAGTTGTATATGTGTATTGAATTTAAAGCAACTCTACGTAAAGCCTACTGACAGTATGTAAAATAAACCTGTCTGCTAGTTATGCCTCGTACTTTTAAAACAAATAATTTGTAATGGTTTAGGTTCACTCTTAATTTTTAATAAGCTGAAATAGAAATTTGCGAAGTTGCCGACCGAGAAGCGCTATTTTCGTTGGATATCTACGTTGCTAGTGTTTCCTAATAAACTTTTAGTTATATAAATTGCTGACAGCATTTTATGCTTGAGTCAAAATCTTTTATGTTTGCTAAACTGTTTAAGAAATCTTTCACACAAGCTATTAACTAATGGAATGTTAAAAAAATTTGATTTTAGGATTATTTTTCAATTATTCAAGCCGAGCAAATAACGATATCGATTTACCGTTTTTTAGGCCAAAATTTCATCAACCAAACTCAAAATAATGAGTTGTATTTCACATTAGCTACGTAATGATGTACAGACATAATACACACTGAGAGTGTGAGGCAGACATTCAAATTGTAGGTAGGACCTCTCACGGATGACAATCAATGTTTAGAGATAATCAAAGATCAAATTATTTATGTCCAATAAATTTTTTATACAATTGTACCATGAGCGGTGATACATAAGTCAAACAAATCATAAACAATGACGACATATCTCAGTAAAATCTCTGTAAGATTGAAAGAAGCATGCCTCGTTTCTCTGCATTTTTAGCTTGAAAGCGAATTATTATGAAGGGATATTTAATAAATTAGTGAAGTTATTAAGTGCTTGTTGATTGAATGCAGTGTATAACGAAATGAATGTTTCATTAAATTAGGCCATTTAGTGTATGAATGTTTTCAGGTCTCCATGAAATTAATTTACTGATAGTCGAGTCACAAATTGAGGGATGAGAAATTTAGTTCAAAGTTAATCTGTCGTTGTTTACGCAGTATTTGAAAAAATTCTGTTATTTTTATTGTTTGATAAGTGGTGGTTAGGAAGTAGTGTATTTTAGATCATATTGTCGCTGTTTAGTTTAAGGATAATATGCTTGATCAAGAGTTTGGAACGATGATTCGTGAAAATAGTCATTTGTTATTCGATTAATTTCAGTGGTATAAAAGTGATACTTTTATATTACAAGAACATAGTAAGTAAAACAAAATAATGGCCTTTGCCAGGCATAATAATGTGAATTACTTTTTGACTAGGATCTTCTAGAAATTATTGAAATAGGCTTATAAATGTTTTTATAATATAGGAAGATAGCGTGTGTAGGATAAAATTAGTAGCTGAAATATTTTTTTGATGGACAACCCTGAATTCAATTTCTTTGGGACTGTATGTTGATGGTAAACATTCTGTACACTTAGCAGATGAGTCACGAAACGTACCCAAATTTTCAACGAATATAATTTGGATTATTATTTTTTAAAGGTGTCTCCTTGCCATTTCGTTTGGGTTTCATCAGAAATCTCCTCATTAAAATGAAGATATATTGAACTAAGAAATTCTATGATGTCGTCCACAGTTTCGTTTTTAGCCATTGTGGAAAAATATTCAGAAAAAGTTAATTTAAATCAAGCAACCTGATGGAGAAACAGACTCTGAGTTTGGAACAAAAGTATCATGAAAACATGACACGGATTCTGTGATGTTGTAACCTGTGAGCCATATTTTATCCTTCCAGGAATGTATTATCAGATTTTCTCAGTTAGCTTCAATATCGTTCGATGAAAATTAAGCCCATTACTTGTATAATAACAACAGAGACTGACGGATTTATTTTTAGTTTTCACTTGTTTCACTGTAATAAAATGTAATTTGGGTTTTCTTTGCAAAAATTTTTAAAATTGTCTAAAGTTACCAGAATTCATAGAGAAGACAAAAATAAATGAATCTTCCATGAAAGGACTGCTGGTCGACTTATTAACGGTTGATAATCCATCACAAGTTCAGTATTCAATTCAGAGTATACCGATTGGACCAAATGTTTCATTTAGAAATGCGGAATATTGTGTCAGCATGGTAAGATTAGTTTCAAAATATACATTAATGCTTTTTTCAGCAAAAGTGACTTCCTTTTTTTGAAACCATGAATCGATCAATGTTAGACCACCATTAGAAACCTGGAAGCACTGGACGGCCGTTTCGTCCTGGTATGGGACTCCTCAGCAGTGCACATCCACGACTCCAGCACCCCGCAGGATTCGAACCCAGGACTTTCGGTATTGTAGGCGAAAAAAACTTAATAATCTTCACAACCCCGTAATGCAAAAAGGAGTGACTTTTGTTTTAATATGAATTGATAAGTATACTGTAAATAAAGCCATATTCTTTTCAGGATATTTACTTCTATATTGTAAAAGAACATGATCAATCACCTAGTTAAATCGTTTAATGTATATTTGCGTCAGTTGACACTCTTGAGATTAGAACTAATTGGTATTGACTAACGTTGTCCTATGTCGATTGTTGATTCTTGACCGAATTTTTACGAGATGATTATAATATTGAATATCAAGGAATTTGTAAAGAGATATTTCTTAACCAATATAATCATTAGGACACTGACTTTTGTCAAGTAAATGAATATAAAGTGATGAAATCTTTGTTCCATTTTTTAAGAGATGTTTGATAATTTATATCATGAATTGACCTCAATTAGACAACCTCTAAAGACAAATGAGTACTAGACGTGTGTTTTGTTAGGTTACAAGACTCTTAAACAGTGCACATCGATGCTCTCACTCGAAATCAAATCCAGAACCCTCATGGTATCATAACGTTTTCCAGGGAATTTTTATCCGGTGGTTCACATGTCTAGCTTCAATCAGCTTGAAATATTGTCTGACCTGAAGATTCAGGTTCTAATCCCCGGTTCGGTCGTGGATGTAGTACACTACTGAGAATTCCCATAAGAAAACAAAACAGATATTCATTGATTCTCACTCTTCAATGGTTGTTCAGTTAAAGTCAGTGAATGATGTAAACTAACAAATCCAATCTATGCTTTAAGAAACCCTTTATACCAAAATATGTTTCAAAAAATATTTCATGACAAATATTACCATTATTGTTTTTAAGGTCGTTTAAGGTCGTATCATTCATCCCGATTTATGATAATAATAATAATAATAATAATAATAATAATAATAATAATAATAATAATAATAATAATCTTATTAGAAAAATGAACTCATTTAAGAAGAATACAAAAAATGTATCATATAAATCTACAAAAGAAATTGTTTTATCTAAAGTTTCACTGACAATGAACCATTACTTTGTTACGTTTTATGAAAGTGGATATATCAGAACTGTAATTTGAGTGTTTATTCTCAGTCTTATATATTGAATGTAGTCGTTTAAACTGATAAATATGTAAATATCCAAAATGTTTTCATGCTACGATGTATCATATTACGCTCAAGTGGAAATATGACCTTTCATATACCAGATGTAGAATGATACTTCTTAAAACATTTCTTACGATAGTATTGTAATATTATTAAATAGTTTTGTCTATCAATTGACTTAAATGATCAAAGGTCATATCTATGAAAACTACCGAAGCCAAACTCTTACAATATTCATATTTCATTTCATTAATTCCCTTGACAGACAAAATTTTACATTTTACAGTAGAATTTTGCTTGAAAATTTTTCATATCAAGCTATGATTGGTCTGTCATCCAAAAAACTGATATTTTATTCGATCTTAAGAGCGAATAATGATATGGGCAGTCAAACTTGAGTTTAATTTTTAGCGATCATCAACATTTAATCTACTTTTTAACTCTAATGCGGTTATCATGATAGGCTAATGCTGACTGAAAAATAAGGACTATTCGAATTATTTTGATATAGGCCTAGACTTTATAAAAGTGTCCAACCATGTGCTTCAGGTCTCACCAGAAATAAGATTGAGTTTGAATTTAATTATCGAATCAGTTGATATCTTTTGGGGTTTGTGAATCCAACATCCTCAAGAGTTTCAAGCTAAGACGTAGAAATTGTTTAGAGCTCTTTGTTTTTCAGCATTCAAAACCAGTATTCCTTATGTTCAATAAAAACGATTGACATAACTGTCACTCTTCCACATTTAGGTGTTAGATAAGAGAGTCAATGTTCAGGTAAATGATTTTATAGCTGAACTTATCATAAATTTATACGCCAGTTTTTTTTGGTTTTAATTTCTTCATTTACTTAGCTTTTAACCAACAATCAAAGTTTATGCCTTTTTCAATTCTCATCTGATATTCTAATGAACATGGAAAATAGCTTTACAACCACCAATGTGAATAATAAACAGATCTATTCTACATTGCCTTATATAACTAGATCATTTTCTCAATTTAAACCGGTGCTAATGGTAAAATGTTTGAAAAATAATTGTTCAAGTGAAATAAATTCATCATTTTTAAACGGAATGTACTTTTTGTACACATTTCATTCATCTATATGGTCATTAATTCTATTATATGCATTAACAGTGAGTACAGATTACTTTGATGTAAACAAATCTTGTTTTTTTTTGTGGTGAAGTTTTTTTTTCAAAGTTATTATGATTTTTATTAGGTTACTTGTGTTAGAGGAGATTTTGAATGATATAGAAGTAATTTATAACAAGAGATGGAGTTAGTTGGTGAACTAAAAAAAAAAAATCAAAAGTGACTAATCCTCTGTTGTTATTACTGAGCAGATTGCATCTTCAGAATTCATAGCTAATATAGTTAGTTCTATTAAAACTCTTAGTGATCAAGTCTAAATTATATTTCTATAAGATAACACTGAAAGCTGTGATATGTAAAGCAAAAGCATGAAACAGCTTTAGTATTTCATATTTATTTTAAACTGTGCATTTTCATAAACACATTAAGGCGAGACATATAAACCATTAGGCTTTGTGGAATGAATAGCTTGAATTTACCACACTTGTTAAAAGACACGAGTAAATGTTTAGTCTGTGATAGTTGTGTGTTTAACTTGGATAAAAATTGTGGTCGATGAGCATACAAGCCCTATTGTTGCAGATCGGAAAGCGAAAAGAACGATAGGAAAGTAAGAAAACCACCCAGTAAGCAAAAAGATGTATTTGCGTTTAACAGTGGAGCTTATCAGTAACCATTCGGAATGATACAAGCGTAACTAAAAGTTGATAAATGCTTGCATGCGTTACATGAACGTTTTGTTTTTTTCAATGTGGTATTCATGTAAAATTAATGATTAACATTCTATTTAAAGCTTCTTATTCTTTACATTGACCAGAATCGGTGTATTATGCATGATTCATTATAATTTCATATTCTGTATTTTAACAGACTGGTTCATTGTTATTTATGTTCGAGTATACAAGACCGTCATGTGAGAAATATACAAAAATTTCACCTTCAAATGAATCAAGTTTAAATTTATGGGATTCATTTCATTATGTTTTTATGGGATTATTTTTACAATGTAAGTGTTTTATTTTATTTATCTGCTCATGTCAATACTTTACCTACAATATTTAAGCATGTTACTATTAAGTCTTTGTCCTGTTGTGAAGTTTTACAGAAAATTAAGTTTTAACTAATGACTCACATGTTTAACTTATGACTCATGTTAGAACTCATGACTAACTAATGAAAAATATCTGATTGTTTGGTACTATAATCTCTGATATCTTCTTTCCGTAAATTTTGATATCTTTCTTTGCATAAAAAGTGATAAAACTCATAAACTGTTTAATGGAACTCTAATGGCATTGAATGATATTATTATTAGCGTTAAACTGATTTTATGAATCTTTGTCATGAAGAGTATGGTAGATATATGAGCAAAGTTAAATGTCTGAGATGGATCGACATGAATTTCTAGATTGACGTTAGATGCCGGTTCTTTCTTATCAACAAGTTGTACCTACAGTCACATGGATACTGATACTCCAGGTAAGATTTGAGCAACTTAACTGTTTAAATTCGATCACCTTAATGGACTGGATAAATGTGATATTAGTTACCAGTCGGTGATAAATTAGTGAGCACAACTAACTGAATCAATACAGAAATAAGGTAGATGAATAACATTGTTTAGTGGTTGAACTTGTTGAGATTCATCAGCAAGATGGATAAGAGGCTTCGAGGAGATTTTGAAATCTGAACTAAAGTCACATAGACAGTCACACATGTCACTAGTAAATTCTTAGGTTTTAAATGAATCACTATGAAAACTAGTTATTTCAATAAACGTTAATGGTTAGTTAATAATGCTAGGTTGATTATTTACAAAAAAAATCAAAGTATTAAATATACAATGAAGTGTAGCTTAACTATTCTGTCTGGTTTATATTTGTACGATTTACTATGTTAACTGAATATCTTTTTATGTTGTTTTAAACGTAACGTCTAAGTTACTTGAATTCGAATCTAATTTTCAATGGTGATTGAAAATACAACGAATGTTTGGTAAAATGAACAAATCCAAAGAGGAATTACCTAGTCACAAGATTTTTCTATAGTCTTATGAAAATTCATATCCAACCATATGGAATAGGTGAATTATTCACATAATAAGCATTAACGTTTAGTTTTGTTTGTCAGCCCATATCCACACAAGATTTGTAAGTATATACATTCAACATTTGACAATAGTTAGTTTAGTTAATCATTTAGATGTTTAGTAGCACAATTAGATCATCGGTCATGCTAGTCCAATAGAGCAGATTTCGAACATCATGCTATACAGGTATTTGACTCAATATTAGACACTTATTTTGTCGGATAAATAATGAGTAGTGTCTTCTTTATCTGTGCTATACATTTCGAACAGTATGGTCACACACGTACTACTCATAGTATTTATGCATAAAAACTAGGATAATTAAGTTGTTTGAAGAGTGTGACACAATTACATTATGCGTGACAGATCAACTTTGTCTTCTCATTACATCATGATGGTAGCTTGCGGTAATAGTTTTGATTGTAATATAGGTGCTAGTGAAGTGAAGGAGAACACAGATGAGGGCAACCGAATTGCATTTATCGAAAATTACAGAGTTAATTGGTAAAATAGGAAAACCATATCGTAAATCGTTAATTTGCAAAACATCAATCCATCATCAATCCATTGTCTGACATTTCACTATTCATGCGTTTCATACAAATTCCATTATGTTCCCACTCTTCCTTTCTTGATCTTCCCCCATCTTCTGCTGCCAGACATTACGTTTTCACTCGCGTCATATACTACTTATAAGTAGCGCGCACCACCACCGCACTAGTAATAAGCAAATATATCTGATGCATACGTACTCCAGTAGTTATGAATGGATTAGAATTCAACTCAGAGATGACACAGTGTATACACTGAAAGGTATTCGTTTGTAATTCATTAAAATAAAAAAACCAATCATTGTGATAAATCAACATCGAAACTATCATGTTTTCTAACAAAGCCCGATTATTTTCAATATCTTTGTCATGAAATTTTATCGATAAATTATTTACTGTTAACGGTTGGACTATCTTCGCTAAAAATCACGATCTATGAAAAAACCTTCAGAATATGACTTTGAAAAGGATGCCATCGCTTTTGCTGTCTGGACATTATTCAAACACACTATTTGGTTATTATTAAATTACTTTATTTACTGAAAAATTCAAATCAATAATAAAACTTCAGCTTTTAGCAAATACACTGAAGTGTATTTTGTTTTAATTTCTTCAAACCGACAGAATTTGTGAATACTACAACCAATCAAATATTTTGAACTGTTCAATTCAAGACTAAAATATTTGGTTCAGATATTAGGTGTTTGCGTGAGATACTGAAGACTCTAGATGCAGTTTGTGTGTATGGGATTGTGAATCTGCAGTACTGAGGAGTCTCATCTTAGGACGAGACGGCCATACAGTGCTTTCAAGTACATAATAGTGGTCCATTTAAGATCAGTTCCTGATTTAAATTGTTTATAAATGAATTTAAGTTAACATGTATATATGGATGACATTTTTACTCGGAGAGGTAATCTGATATGCAAAACTATTCAATTTACAAGTGATTGATCAATTAAGATTTCACCACAGTAAATTAGTGAATATTCGCACACTTTGAAAGTATACTTTAGTATCGCGAATCGACGCGTACATTGGTAAAGCATTGAAAGCACAAGTTAACTGGACAGATGAGTTTGCCTCATTTAAGAACTATACACACAGTTTAAAACTAACTGTAATGAAAAGGTTGTTTAATCCTATTTGATTTACAATAGACCTCCGACTAAAGTCAGCTTTTGATGAAAAATAAATTATTAGTTGTTTGAAAAAGAGATCTATGCATAAGTTACGGTCAAATTATTGATCAAATATCGTAAATCCTTTGTAAATAAGACTGATTACACTTCTGCTGATTTTTATTATGTTCAGATTTAATGGTGAAACATTTTATTTTGTGTCATCATTGTTATCATGAACCCTGATCTTCTTTTCTGTCAATCAAAGTAGACTGAAGTTATCTTACTACAAAATACCACTTCGAACTTCTTTTTTTAAACAGAGAAGTTAACCAAATGATATTGAATGGTACCATTAAATACATGAATAGCACATTAAAAATCATGAATAAATAATTTCTTTTAAATTTTGTATCTTTTTTTAGCAACTTGTCGATCATGGGATCATAATTTATTCAATATAAAAAACAACTAATAGCTGATTTATTTCAATAATTACTTTTGAATAACTTACAAGAACTACATTATAAAGTCTAAAAATGTTTATAAATGCTCTTGTCTTTACAAATTCGCAACTCTGTTGCTTTTTGAACACATCTGTAAAATAAATAGTTCAGACGCAGAGGTAAACACTGCTGAAGTGTTCTAAACAGTTTTTTTGTTGATAAATAGGTTTTTTTTCAATGAAATAGAAACAGTATTGTCATTGAAGGATTTTTTTAAAATACTGTTATTTGACTTTTAGCTATAAACAAATTACCAAAATCATGGGGCGGAATAACAATCACTTTATTCTGGCATGCATTTTGTTTAATTTGCATTATTGCCTATGCATTGGGTACATCAGTGTTAATTTTCAAACAGTATAATGACAATAATTTGAAATACCATCCTTATTTCGACAGTCGAAATCACACCATCTATTGCAATTTAAATCCGAAATTATGCAATTATTTTGAAGAAAAGTTCTCTTATCCAATGAAATTGTTTAATATGGAACTTCTACCAGAGGAGATCAATACATCAATGATAATTTTAACAGATCATATTCACGGTCAGTATCTACAATCATTAAAATATCGGAATACTGACTGGAATTATATTAAGTTAGATTGTGGTACTGAAAATGAAAAAGAGGATAATGAAAAGTTCCAAGACATGCCTTTAACAGAATTGGGATTTTTAACATTCAGTCAAAAATCACTTCGGGAAATGAATGTATACCTAAAAGTGAGTTAAATGTTGGAAAAGTCCGAAATAAGCACGAATTATTGATAAAATACTTTTGTTTAATGGTTATCTAAAAACATCTATTCGCTTATTGACTTCACTTTGTGAAAGATTGCACATCTGACAGCATTGAATAGCTGTCTCATCCGGGTTTGTGAACACTTCCTAATGCTTAAGAACTGAACAGCTGTGAAGAGAGGAAAACGTTACCGGATATTCACTCAATTTATACAATCCGTTTAACTAAATAACTAAATAGGTTTTATAGTGAGGTCAATCTTTTTCAAAAAATTAACTCGATTAATAAAGTTTTCAAGTGTGTAATTACTGCAAGATAACAACATATCCGGCTGGCGTTTCCTTTTAACATCGTTGTAAACAGGTCAATTTAAGCACGATTGCAATTCATACATTTTTTGCAAAATTTGATCATCATACTCACCATTATTCAAATCAGTCAACTCATCAAGTTCAATACAATGTAATTACAGTTAGTAGAATGCAATTAATAAGCTGGTATAGGGTAACGAGAGACTATGTAACTTTTAAAAATAAAGCAGATAAATTCTATCATTTTTCATCTTAACATAAAGATGATTAGTTAGGTAAAAAGTTAATATATTTCAAGAGCTACCCTTATTGAATTTATATAGTTCATAGTACTTTCCTGGCACAAAAATTTATTGGTCTTGCTGAAGTCTTAAACTGAGATCCTGTGTTTCTATTAATAAATCTGGGCCATAAAATTTTCATAATCTCTTTCTTTTAGTTTTAAGAGTATTGTGACCATATTACTCAAACTACTATTTCTACTAATCATTTTAATTATAGGAACAAACTGAACTAAATTAAATAGTTAATATCCTTTCACATCATACTGATTACCCTTGCTCTCAATAGAGAGAGAAAGAGTTGACTTTTCATCGAACTTGAACTGCTTATCTAAACCACCATTTTTGATTATGTTCATTTCTTACCTAAATGACACATATAAGCAAACTCAAATTCTAACTGGACCCTATCATACGTATTTTTCATACACCTGAACAAATACACTGACTTACAACATAAAATCACCTTAACCAAAAAATAACTTGACATTGTCCTGTTCAGATTAATTTTGATTTGACTAAAAGTATTCTGATTTGCTTCGCTCACGCTATCTAGACTAAGGTTAAGTTTATTCAGTTATTTATTTGGCTTACTCTCAAGAAGTGGCTTACATTCCTTCACAAACCGTTAGAAATTAGAATTTCTACTCATTAGGACATTATTAGTACTTGGAACTTGTGGAGATTGTTGGATTTAAATCACTAACTGATCGTAGTCAGACCACTATCACTCGTATAACTTATTATTATCTTTTTAACGAAATAGTTAATGAAAATCTGGTTTATTATTTTATATTTTTCATCATGGATTGATATTAGTCAGGGAATAAATTACCAAACCAGCATAGTGAATAAACGATTTTAAAAATGATAAAATATCTATAAAAATCTTATAATATACAACAAATGAATGAATAATTGAACGTGTAAACAGTTAAAAGGATACTTTCTAGTGAAATGTACAGAAATGTACAGAAGGAATAATTGGAGTTAGCGTACGGTGTACTGTTAGTTAAATGCATTTAGTGTAAATTTTATTTGCGTGAACCAATATCTTATATTTTCAAAAGGTTATAAAGTCGATAAACTACGCATACATAATAAGGCAGTTGTTCAGAGGCCTGAATGACAAGTTTAGCTATTTGTTGTTTTTAGTTTAACACAAGCCTTAAAATAGAATCAATGTAATCGATTCAAGGAATTTTGTTGTTTGTCATTAGGTTGAAAGTAACATGTTAGTTCTGGTTAAACAAATAGTTCAGGTGATTCAACTCTCTTTTGTATCTCTCGGTAACATGTTGAGGTTAAGAGATTCACTTGTTGATAACTGGACGATACATTTGACAGTTAGCTAACAAATAATTGGTTCTGAGCTAGTACAAGTATTTGTAAACATTTCATTCTCACAGAAAAATATTGTTCTGAATTTATTATTAAATTATTTTCAGACTGTGATAAGGTCATACGTCATCTTTCTTAATGATGAAGAAAGAGGATTCGGTTTGTGCGTTTTTTTATCATACAGAAACTTTAAGACTCTAATCTGCCGATTAGTTTAGATTTTTCACCTACACCACAGTGACCTTTCTTAGATCAGGGTGCTATATTCTGTTTAAATCACACAAGATATAGATAAAATATATAAAGCAATAATGATAATAATAATTTGAGAGTACCAGCAATGAGCATATTTGTGCGTTTGGGATTGATGACTGAAAAGTTGTTAAACTAATTTCTGTATTTCAAATCATACAAAGCCTTTAACTTTCGACAAACGTTTGTTCACCTTGAAGTTACAAATACTTTAAATTATTCATTTTCTGTCCAGCGGTATATATTTCACTCTTTTTTCAAGTTGCAGTGTAAATACAATAACACGTTTGATGTGATTGACCCCTTAGGTCAGAGAATGTTATTAAACAGCTCATCTACCTGATCCTAATATTAGAAGGATAACGGAAATCAATCGAGTTAGTAAGAAAATGAAGACGTTTCAGAGGGGAAAATTTCCATTTCGATGTTATCATCCGCTTGATCTTTATAACTGTATTGATACTTACTTCATTATAAAAACATAAGTTATTGCGTCATTAAAAGTAGTACAGGGAGATTATTTCTACGAGTGGTTTGTGTAAATTTGTTTTCTTCATTTATTTCAATTTTGACAACTGCAGTTAATGTCATCTTTATGAGATATCATTTACACATTTGGAATCATCAATCAATCATTGTTAGACCACCATTAGAAACCTGCAAGCCCTGGACAGCCATTTCGTCCTGGTTTGGGACTTGTCAGCACTACGTATCCACGAGTCCTGCATCCCGCAGGATTCGAACCCGGGACCTTCGGTATTGTACTCGAACGACTAATCTCTGGACCGCTGGGCCGGCATCCGACGGTGTTAATGTCTAACTCTGAGTGATCTAGGGATTTTGTGCGACCTCACCCACTTGTCTTTGGTAGTTACTGCATACGCCCGACAGGGTTGAACTCCACTGGTCACTTCTTGTTGTCACTAGAACTCCGAGAAGTTCATCACGAAGTTAGTCACTAGTGAGCACATTTTACGATATCTTCAGTTAGAGTTATAGTATATTCATGATTTTATAATGAATAAGATTTCACTTAACTGTTGAGTTAAAATCTGACCAATCATTTGTTCTAATCTGCAATTCCGATTTCTTTCACCGTATAATCACAATGTTTTTGAATGTATAATTCACACGTTCTCATTTTAGTCTGATTCATCAAATTTGAAAAAAAGCCTATCTTATAATGAATTTATATCCTGATCATTTAATGTTTAACACTGTTTGGTTTATCATAAGTTTGCTGGTATTTGTTCTTTGAAATCTATCATTTTTCAAACGGTGTTTTAATAATCTGTTTTTCCATATCTTCTTTTCAAGTACTTGGAAGATTCTGGAAAACTCTACAGTATACAACATAATAAAGAACGTGTGTTCGACTTTACGACAAAACTTCAAATTCATAACAATTTATGCATAACAACAGAAGACAGAAATCCGAAAATCCCAATACGTTTAAAACAAATGAACGGACCATTATTATTTATGATAATTGGCGGCTTCTGTTCTATTATTACTCATATTAGTGAACACATTTATTATATTGTTATGAATCGATAGCTTCTCTCAAAACTTATTTCTGCTGAAGAAATTATCCCTTCTTTTCATAGTATTAAAATAATTAAAAGCTTATTGATTTATAAATATCGAGAAATCACTATTTGTTGATCATCATGTTTAGATTTCAATGGCCTAAATTGGTTGACCATATAATCATAACCATTGAGAGTTTGATTTAAAAGTGAATTACGTACACTTGTATCAATAATAATAAATAAACATTTTATACACAATTCGTTTTATTAACATCAGGGGGGAACAAGCATCAAAATTTCATTAGTACAATGTGAATTCATCTTATTATTTACTAGAATCTGTCATTGTTCAGTGCTAGGTTAAAAATTTGAAATAGTTTTATTGAAAAGCAAAATACAATAATCATAATCGTGTGCGCTCCAAAATATCATTTATTCGTGTAGCCAGTGTGTGAGGTAAATTAGTCTAGAATGTATAATGAAGTGTTAAAATTCTATAGTTAAAATAAAGTCAAGTAGATTAATAAGTATTTATGAAGAAAAAAACTACACAAATCTCATTGTCTAATTTTCAGTTATAGTAATGTTAAACCAATTAGATTTGAAATTCACACAGTTATCTGTATAACTTGGCATTAAAAAAATAAAACAGTTTGTATAGTTATGGTTTCGATTTCACATAACAAAAAATAATTCATTTATCAATGTTATGAACTGAATTATTTAATATTCGATTTTAAAATTGGATAGCACTGATGTAAGTACTAAAGAATATAGCACGAGAAAATTACACACTATTACTATGAGTTTCGCAAACCTATATACATGTTTTACTCAGATGTTTGTCGTGGTATTTCTGGATTAACAGAAGATTTTGATTATCCGTTTTCAATAATCCATTACAAAAAATCACATCAAAAAAGTATAGTGATAACGCGGAACATAATTAGCACACTTTTTTTAACTTTAACATTTGTAAGTTCTAGTGAAATTAAGTATTTGCTAATTCCAAATTAATTTCACGCTGATTCGCTTATATATACGAAAAGTAATTCATTTATGATAGACTGATGAGTAGAAAAAAAAATCTCACATATTTTACAATGCTGTAAGATAGTTGATCGATATACATCATCAGTACTTTGTAGATTTCTTCATCCTAAACTACTTTCCATCTATGCTTGAGTTATATTAGTGTTAGGGACGTTAGATCCCCAGAACTCGCTTGATAAATGTTTTATTTTGGATTTTATGTTTCCGAGCATGGGCCGATGAGTTGATCTTGAGACCACATTTTCCACCAGGAAAATCTTTGACTGTAGCTGGTTACTATGTGACTCTCCCAAGAACGTTCCTATGATGTATAAATAAACGCGATTTGTGTGCTTGAGAGGATTGTGTTTGCTGGGTGTTTGTAGAATACACTTTCTACGCTATATCAAGAATTCTTTGTTAGTGCACAGATCAGAGTAGCCCACCCGCACACGGTTCATTTTCTCGTTCTCGTTTATCAACTAAGGGGAACCCATAATAGTTTCAAGCATAGCAAGTGACGACTTTAACAAATAGACAATCAACCACATTGAAGCTTTATCATCAAGATTAACAGATCACTATTTCAAGAGTACAAATATCGTTTTATTAATTTACAAACGACGATTATAACTAAAAAAACAGATTGTATTATAAAGTTGCAGTTTTTTCCATACTCATCACAGATTGGTTTTCAAAGTAACACAAATTCTGTAAAAGTAACTAAAATAATAATATTCATTTAATCATGCGAAAATATTACTATTTTCCAATTGAACTGATTCATTTCATGAAACATATTACCCAATTTTTTTTGTGAAGATTATTATTTCCAATTATTTCGATATTATAAATGAATTTCATAATCATGTCAAAAGAATGTAAACTGAAACTTGTTTCTGCTTGTTTTATCCTGCATTGCCTGAATATGTTTTTTGAAATCTATAAAATATCGACTTATAAATAAATATCTCTTCAAAAATAAAAGTTCTAATCAAGTTTTAATACAATCCATAAAATTTTATTATAAGTTTGTTATTGAAGAGAAAGAGAAATGAATATGTTTCTTATTTTCATAAATATTGGTTAAATCACAAGTTATTAGTAATTTTCTTTATGTAAAATTTCGAAGACACTTTTTGTCACGGATGATTATCATCAGGAAAGCAATGGAGTGTGAAGAACCAATAAAAAGTTATTTTCTTCTTGATTACGATCCATCAGCATCTAACTTGTGAGTAATTCTGACCGATCAAAAATGGTTTCTTCGTAAATCTAAAAGAAACGCTTAACTAGCGAACGTAGACCATGGTACACGTTACTGAAATCGTGCTTACGCTTTAGGGTAACGAAATCAAGAAGAATAGCAGAAATAATCATGAGGAAAAATGCTTACCGAATACAAAGTTCTTAAAAGCAGAGAAGAAATTTATAGGTAAAAGAATTCTAGGTCGAAAGAAGTATGAAGGATAAATGGATCTGTGTTGTGAAAGATTCCAGGCTATCTCACCTAAAGCTTCTGACCATTGACAGCGATTATAGTTGTAACCTCAACCAAGTAATCTACATCTACCAACCTGGCACATTTAAACAGTCAATCACTTCATGCACTAATGCTATGAATAGTAAGTCAACTAAACTAAGATAAAGGTAGAATCCAAATGTTCGAAAAGTCTAATGAAGCTGCAAATTCTAAATCACTGTCCTAAATTTTTAGTGCTTTCTGTAAGAACTGTAAATCCTAGATTTATCTCTTAATAGGTTGTGAATGCTAACTACTCGAATTTCACAAACTGGAAATAAATGGGTAAAGATTTGTCTTAAGTCTTTAGTGATAACCCCGTTGATATTAGTTCTGGAAAGGACAGGTATCTTCAAAGCTACACAAATTTTCTCATAAATTATCAACGTACAGTTAATTGTGACTCATTATGTTAAATGACTACCACTAATAATAATAATAATTTATTTTACACGTAAAAAGTAATTTTTCAGGATTGATCGTGCAACTTGTCGTTCCACTCCGAATGAAATGTTATTTAAAAATGTATCATACACCAGATTTTTATTCTGAATAATTAATTGTCCGTGAGTCTATGAATTTAATTTAAAAATTATGACCGGTAATTTTCAACATATGTGATGAAATTTTGTAGACCATCTTTTGTTAAATGATCGAAATTGAATTATGCATTTCAAAATATAACTGAAATAATTTTAGGAACGAATAATATTACATCGGACTATTCAGTTTTTCCTTGATCTTTACATAAACTTTTTATTATTTACAATAAATTTTCAACTCTTGAGATAAAATATATTGATGAATGAAAACAAAAGGACATTTTTATTCTGAACTTGACAATGACTGATCACGCTGATCAATTATTAAAATACGGTATGTAGATACGATTCATGTCTTTCATGTTAGTACTTCAGGACTTTCGTTTCATTTTCTTCGATATTTCGCTATCGAATAGATTATTTTCTCAGAGACCACCTGATAGTATCTTCAAGTATTTATCAGTTTGATGCAATAATTACCATAGATTTATTTTTCATCTCACGTTCACCTTGAGTCAAATTACTGTCCTCTTCTGATGTGAAATTTCACAGTTTCATAAACTTCAGCTCCATACTTGATAAAATATAGAAGCTTTATTTTCCACGGCTAACATGATGAGTGTAGACATTTCAGTTTTAATTTACTGGTACAAATTTCAAGCTCCAGCTAATTTCTGGTAAAGTTCAATCATCCTTCAAAATCATTTGTAATAATCAGTGGCTGTTCTGCGTCTGCCAGTTTAATGCTCAGTTAATTAAAATGCAAAGATTCATCTAACATTAGTCAGATTTTTAGTGTATAAATAATAGTTTTCATCGCATGATAAATACTGGCTGTATCGGACTTGTTTTTGTTTGCTTTTCGAAAATTTTTTTGTTTAAAAGCTTAGGAAACAATTCTTATTTACAAAAGTATCTGTTCAACAGCCTAAATTATATCAGTGACCTGATAAAACCGACAATTAGTTAGAGTAGCTAACAGGATTATGGCAATGTACTTCATTTACTAATACATCTATTTATGCAAATGTTTACCAGTTTCACGAGTTTAGCACAAGATCTAATGGAGATTCTTTTTCTTAGGAAGAATATTAAGCATTATGGCTTTGGCAATTTACGTAATATAAATATGAGTTTGTTCCTCAATTCACTATTCCTGCTACGCGATAACTTCACAGTATTAAGTGAGGTTTCTGCACTCAATAATGGTAACTTTCTATGGATTAGTACGCTTAATAACTAATTAATGCAGCAACTGTTATTCACACCTAAGATTATTCAAGTATTTACATACTTAAACTGTTTCGAATTCTCTTTTAAAATAATATGGTGTGATTTATGTGGTTGAAAGAATAAACAAATTTTATTGATAATGTTTCACTCGTTTATTCATAGGTGATTGTTGTATATGCCATGACTGACATTTTCGGTAATCGGTCCTATTTTTATTTAGTATACCAGCCTGTTATAGCAATTAAAAGAATACAGAATAACTTGAAATTGTCTTCTGAGCTAGTGGAGATTGATTTCAATATTTCTGCCAACACGACTATGAGATTTAATGGTGTCAAATTGAAGAGTTTGCTAATCGTGGTAGTCTCAGAGCATCAATGTAGTTAAGTGACAAAACAGGATCCTGGCTATTTATTGATTTCTGAAGAAATAACAAATCAATTTTGAGTACTTGAAGCTTATAGGTTCTCCTAATAGGGCTCGCCAATAACACCTCATGGAACCCAAACCACGCAAAATAATCTAGATGAAATAAAAATAACTGACAAATACCGAAAGATACCAGATTTGAGTCTCTAAGTGAATGTTAACTCTGGGATGCAGGTACGAAATTCATGTCCTGTATTCTACTGCTAGCCATTATATCTATGTCTGTTGACAATAACAAATAACCTTTCGGGTTTGTAAAACATAAATCTTTAAATGGAACAGAAGGAAACGAAATTGTATACTATATTCGAAACAACAGCTATAAGCAATTGAGTTTTTAATTTATCAGAGAAATCTGTAAATACACTTAAACACTGTCACCTGGTACTCAGTGAATAAAAATTTTATCAGGAGGATTCTCCAGTTTACAATCTCCCAAAAGTATCGTTTGTTGATCAGTAGATGCTTTCGGTTAGAACAAAAGTCTAAGGTAGTTTATATATGGAATTTAGAATATTCCAATGGTAGAAAACAAGTAATTACACCTACCTATTAATTAATCAATCACAGATACATTAGTTAAATGTTCCGTTACTTAAGGTAATCACCCGCATAAATAGTCCAAATTAATTTGAAGACTTGTAATAATGAGACTGATTCATACAATATGTGTCAAATAGTCAATGACAAAACACACTAAAACCTAATTGTTCATACATACAAAATGCAAAGCAGTAACTTTATTCATATTGAATTGATTTGATGTTTTGGAGACAGAGAAATAAAGTGACCAGGATTCGGTAAATAAAACAAAGAGTTACAATCAATTGTATTTTCATATGTGGAATTAAATAAAAATGAAACTAGAAAAGTTCTGTTGATATTCATTGATAATCTGAATTATGGATGATAATTTAGACAATGACAGTATACGCACTGAAGATTATGCTTCGAAATTCAATGAAACGATAGATTTACCAGGTAAGTTTTTCTTTTCCCCTTTATCATTATTAGGTGAATAGTTGATAATTCGTTGTTTTGACTAACGCCTTTAATAATTCATACGAGTTAAAAATCCTATTTCATATTAGATTGTCAGGCTTTGTAATAACTGAATATCATTCGAACAATTCATGAAAACTTTATGATTATTACATCATGACTGATAAGTGTGAAAAGTTAAACTCAGTGACTACAAAACCAGTGTTCAAGGAGGACTTTATATTTCGAAAAGGTTATTATCCTCAGAAGTCAGGCATATAATTATCATTGCAAAGTACTGTCCATCAGTTTAAGTAGTTATGACTATTCAGATAATTTATATTTATGGAGAGCAACATTTATGGTCAGGATAAGTAACGTTTAGTTATAAATTTAGCTCAAACACTAATTGCTATTATAATTTTGATGTGAATGATGAGGAAGATATTTTATGCAGTCATCGTTACAATGATTGTAATTTAGCCAAAGAATGAGGAGTAGTTTCAACAAATTAATTTAACTTTTCAAAAATGAAAATTAGAGGTATTAGAGTGCTACCGATCACGAGACCTTGATTAGCTGGTTTTTTTTGTCAGATATTTACAACTAAGTTGCATTAATGAAACGTTAAACTAATATTCGATAGCTCATTAACTGATGCAAATTCATAGTGAAAATTAGTTTCAAAATTAACCAAATCAGTACAAATCATCTACTTACATGACATCGTAGCTATTGATTTTCTAATTATTAGAAAAATTGCTGAGAAGCAGATACGTTTATCAAAATAGAAATGCTATCAATATTTGGATGTTTTATGTTATAGTTCAGTACAAGAATTAGACAAATATAAATTTCATGGATAACTAGTCTCTGTCATTAATGGTAACGATTATGGAGTAGTGAGCTAAACATTTTGAGTATTTTAAAACATTTCAAAATACGTATTACATATTTGGTATTTTCTTTCTGATGGAAACCAGTTGCGTTTATGCACTCCCCAAGCAGAAGCCGGCTAATGAGATTTCAAACTTAGAACTTATCAATTCAAACACTGTTGATTTGATCACTATCCAGTAACTTCACGTAAATCACAAACGACGTATAGGCTCGTTTTCGAGTGATTGAATCGTAAGTCATACATGTTATTCAGTGAACCTCAATCCGCTGTCGGAACACATTGAAATAGGACCTGCTAGAGGCTGCCTGTTTTTTAATGATTATCTGCTTGAATTCAACTTATGAATACAATACATCGTAAACTTGTGCATAGGCCTTTCTATTGGAACGTTAGAAATACCATCTATTTAGTTGAAATAATAAACTTAAATTCTAAATATCAAAAGTTTTGACAAATAAATTATCATTCATTAGAAAAGTAATGAACACCAACATTTAGTTAGATTTGCTTTTTATTTTCCTTTCAAAATCTATGCGTATATAAATAAATAAATAATGATCAAATTGACTTCGATAATTTGTAATGCCTCCTTTCAATCATTTTTATAGTGGTTACATATTCAAGATTGATTTACTTGTGAATTGATGAAATTTTCAAATTTTTCAAAATTTTACACATGACAGCAGTTGATGTATTGATTTAATATGTGTAATATTTTCCAAGTTGGCATTACTATTTCTATTTCCATTAGATTGATATTGCATAATAAATTATCTCATTTTTGTACTAAAAAAAAGGCACACACACACATTGATAAATATGTTTTTTTTCTATTGAATATTTTAATCAAATGCTAGTAGAGCGAATTAATTATCAAGAAAAAAAACTGACATTACAGTGATAAATTATTTTCATCGAAAAAGTATTTTTATCAGTTTATCAATTGACTTATATTAGAAATTAGATGAATATAATGTTAGAAATTTTAAAATAGCTTTGCTTAGAACATAGATCTCTCTTAAGAACTTTATGGGTAGATGGTAGGTTTAATTTCTTGAGAAGATATTCTAGTGTCATCGACCATTATAATGAAAGCCATATATTTGTGTAGGAATGCAGTGCTACCATTTTCTTAGAATCATATAGACTTGCGAATCACTCAGTATTCGTTTCCCTTCTCCTACTTCGTGTCATTATATGACATCTTCATATCCTATATTCCCCATTGTAAACTTGGCGTTTAGGTTTCTTATCAGAATAGTCAGGTTCTTTCCTGGGTATTTCTCTATACAACTAAAGGTTCTGCATTCTGTTCAACCACCTTATCCATGTTATATCAGTTAGTTGAACAGTAATTACATATTGCATTTTCTAAATATCTTCAAAATGATGTCTATACCGAAATGTCTTCACATTAACTAATAACCAATTAATTCGAATACAAATATAAATCAAATATCAGACAGTGAAAGCTAGTTGATAAGAAACCTCGATCTTAGGTTTCACGATGACCTTCGATCGTTAGTATAACGTATCTGTCAATGTATGATACTTACTGCATATTTCTAACTAGTACCACCAAGTGCCACTAGCAGGGATGTATTCACTAACCTATCCAACCTTTTCGTAGGAACTAGAACTTTACTTTCATTACTGAGTACAAAATTATATGTAGTTTTCTAAAAATCAATAACATTGCAAACTATTATGACTGATTTACTTACTTTGTTCAGTCTTTTATATTAATTTTAGATGATACCTGAACAGATTATTACTGTGCGTGACATGTATTTGAAACATAATAATTGATATCGAAACTCGTACTTGGAGCAAATATTCAGTTATTAATAATAATGACTTTCAAAAAATGAATATTCCATGTCTGAACTTGGAAATATAGGAACAAAATCCATTTGATATAGATGAATTTATATCATAAAGCCCTGAATAACAAGTCAATCATTAAGGTATCACTGTAAATAAGTTAACATCATTTGAATTACAAAAGTATTGATAATTACCTCTGAAGTTATAACTTGCTAATTACAGTAGGCTGATTTAACTTTTAATAAATAAATGATTCGATTGAAAAATTGTACAGCTCTGTCTGTTTCATTGGCTGATGAGTTCCATACCAGGACGAAACGACCATCCAGTGCTTCCAGGTTTCTAATGGTGATCTAACATTGATCGATTAATGGTTTTGAAATGTGTAACTTAACAATCTTCACAACCCCTTAATTCAATAAATGTAGTTGTATGTACTCGTGAAGCGTAGTTAGTGAGTTAGAATACTAACATTAGAAACATAAGATCAACTATGAATTGTGCAAGCTTGCGGGCCAAAAAAGTGCAACAAGTTACAGGACTAAAAAAGTCTTTTCGAAGGTAGACAACTAATGATATCTGCGAAAACGTGGATGTAACCAGAACACAAATGGTGCAGTAGGCTTATAATACATGGGGTGGTTAAATTTTCTGATAAGAATAATACAACATAACAAAAGAACAGAAAGAGTCGAAAGAAAAAATTTCAAACAATGGCAACAAACAAAACAATTGTAAAGAAGATTTATGTCCGAAAAGACATGAAAAATACTTCGGATTCGTAGGCCAGTCACTAACAGCAACAACTCACTGTGGGAGAGAACAAACCAGATTCCTGTGGAGCAGGAAACGAGGAAGAAGCTGTGGAAGTGGATAGGACACACAGTACGAAAAGCACCTAACTGTTTCACAAGGGACCCTCAAGGCCAAAGGAAAAGAGGAACACCGATGAACACATTACGCCGAGAAATAAATAAAGAATGAATAAAAACAGGAAAGAACTAGAAAGGGAAGCCCGGGACATAGTTGGTTGAAGAAAGCAGTTTGGGGCCCTATTCTCCATTGGGGGTAAGAGGCGCGAGTAAGTAAGTAAAGTAAGACATATATATCATTTAGTTGTGTACAGCTAACAATGTTATTATTTAAGATTTACGCTTAACTGTTTCAATTAATTAGGTTACGATCTGTAAAAGATATTGTATGGTATTTTTGAGACGACATGGTTTTAATGTACTAAGTGCTGCCAAAATTGATTTCTTGATTTGTCAATAATATTCAATCAGAAGGAATCTTAAATCTTGCCAATGATAAGGCTAATAACATTGAAATCCTCATATTTCTTTCTGTTATTTGACTCGATTCAATTCAGTATAAGCATAAAGTACGTTATCTCTAAGAATTTTAAAACTATCACAAGACCTATATGTATTACATCCTGCCATTTAAAATAATATTTCAAAACAATTTAGTTCAGTTGATATCAACTTTTCTTCTGTTCATTATTAACAAAGGCTTTATTCGATATTACATAAATATTACAATATAGAATTATCACAGCAAAGTATTTCAGGACGTTTCTTTCCCAAAATATAATCAATTACTGCACGCTTATACGTAATGAATAAGTAAATACGCTTCTCTCTGAAGTTTGTGCTGATGATGTTGTTGTTGTTCAGAAGAACAACGTAAGCTCCACAACCGAAACATCAAACTCAGAGAACGAAACACCACAACAAGTAAATACACTCCATGAAATTAAATAAGACGGAAATTCATAAAACTTTTGAAGGGTTACATAGTTACGAATACATAATTGTCACTGGATCAGTTCTTGGAACCTGTCCGTTGCATCGTATTTGAATAATGTAGTCTTTTATGTTTTATATTTTCGACACAACAAAAGGCTTATTTACTAGATTATATGTAATTATTAACTATGTACACGTTTTTTGGATGTTTGAAGGTTGCAAGTAAGTCTCCAAGCTTTGCGTATCAGACTCTATTAAAAAAAGAGAGTTTAAGTTAAGTATCATTGAATTAATAATGTGATTGTTCATGTGTAAATACATTTAGGTATTCTCTTTGTTAATTTTTTATATGCCGGTTGTTTTAAAAATAACAGTACTGTAATAAAAGGGCATCAAAACAGATTAACTTTAAATTGCCATACCATATTAGCACAGACACGTAATTGTCAATTTAAATTCCATAGAAGAAGAGGTAGTAGAAGTATTAGCGATAATGGAAATTATTAGGGTTCACAAGAAATTATTCAGGCCATCAGCACTGACGAGACTCCTCAGATAGGTGCAGTGGTCAACACGCTCAACTGCTTCACTAGTTCAGGTGCCGATACAAGCCAATCCTGAAGCAACATTTTGCTTTTTGATGGGGCTGACGAGGCTAACATCTTAGACATCAGCTAATCAAGTCTGTTGCTTCAGTTGATACAAGAAAGCTGGGTTAGTGTGTGTCTCGGAGATTTGAGAGCGCGATCACAGATCCCAAAAGACAACTGCTTGAGGTCCGTTGCAAACGGCTTTCTCATGGGATATTTTTGAAGGGTTAGCTCCGCTCTTCAAGTGGCTTTACCGCCGGAGACGGAAATTTGTGATGCAAGGTGAGGGTCAACCTCTTCTAACCCCTCTATGCTTTGGGAGAAGGTAGTATTGCTGAAGATGCTGGTTGTCCGAGGGATACCCCACACTGCTGTCATACCAATCAGCAGTCACCAGTATGATTTATTCCTCAGACCTTTAGTTACTCTTTTTAATCTTGTCGTTCTCCAGTCTACCTGCCTGACTTGATAGTATTTAATGAAACATATGTCCTTGCCAATGTTTCTCGGTTAGGTCAGCTCGATCGGCAATTCTGACCACCATGTCAAGGTAGTATCTATGGTCGGATACTGTTAAGAAATGGGTATTGGTGTAACCATCATATTTCTAACAAATCTTTCTAAACTTCAGTAATTTATCTACAACCTAGATGTTTAATTAAAATGTCCTTTAATCTACTTAACGAGGAATAAGTGAACAAGTATTTATTATGCTATCTATTATGAATGTACAGCAATTTCACAGTTGATGTAAAACTACTCCCTAAAATAAAACACAATAGTATATATTTCAAATTATTAATTTTTTTTATCACCTTCACTATGTAATATCATCTTAGGAAGGTTTTGATAAGTGTTATTTAAATTTCCAATTGTTCATTACATTACTTCACTCTATTACACAGCGTTTCTAATGTTGAAAATCAATTGTTCTAAATGATGCAAATGCCTTTTACGTTCAAAGTGCATTGTCATATTTCACAAGTTTGTTGTAAAGATTGAAAAAAAATAAATAGCCGATGAACAGGAAACATTGATTTCAGGCTAGTTATTCTTTCTTAGTTGGTTTACAACATTTTAAGACTATTGGAAATAAAATGTATTTACGTAGTTCAGTTGGTTTATACTCATACTGATTTACATTCGAAGTTTTCTCATTTTGAATCACTTTGTAGTATACTTTTTATGATCGTACTTCATAAATACCATTAGATTGAATATGGTTCATGGTGTAGTTGGAGAAATCTAGTCAGTCTGAATTAATTAACTATGTATACAAACCTCAGGATGATAAAATAATGTTTCAAAAATGTTTAGCTTATTGTTATTTCATACTTTCATAATATGGATAGATTATTGATTTAAACTATGTAGAGTATTCGTTCGAAACTTAATGGCATGTATCTTGTTGAATATGTGTTGAATTGTATTTCACGTTGTTTACAGATGCATGAACTATCATATTTATTTTAAAACGGATATATAACAAAATTTACGAGGTCATGTAAATAATTCTGATTTAAAATAAACTGATTAACTGTTAACCCTCTTTATAATTAAGAGCATGTTTTTTTTATCAATAATCAGACAGTTTTGTTTTATTTCAACTGAAAAAAAAATTGACATTCAAATCTAAATGTTCAATTTATATTGGAAAATCATATTGAATTTATAACGATGTATGAATATTTTGAATTGATGAATAATTAGAACTTAGATGTTTGGTTGAAATAGTGTTGTATTCTTTGACTTGGATCGCTTAGATGTAGAACTTTCAGTTGTTAATAATGAAAGTTAATTTGAATTTGATGAAAATATACTATACATGAACGATCAGCATGTTCTTGTTAAATGAATAACTTTCAAACTATGTACAACATGCAATCGTGTAACTTTTAAGTTGAAAAGTTACATTTATTGTCAAAAATAACAAAAAGTCGAAATAGCGAATAACAAAAATGTCATTTAAATCCTAACATTTTTTAAAATTACTTTTATGTAAGTTATTTAAGGTATGTAAATTCTGACAGTCTTATTTTTTTCGACATCATTAGTTTTTTTAAAATGAGCATGTAAATTCTATGGTACCGCTCGTTTTTTTACTTTGATTTGATACTCTCAATGTTCTTAATAAAAATAAAGTATCTTAGGTTAAAAATAAAAAAGAATCCGCCGTAATGTTCATCAAGTAGTACTCTAATGTGAAGGGCATATTTATTTGAATTACGAAAATAACCATCGCATGGGCGCCAGCTTACTGAAATTGTAAATCTGAAACAGCTTCTTATTGAATTTATTCCGGATATTAACCGAAATAACAAACAATCCTTCACAATTTTCAACCAGATTTTTACCTGAAATTTTAGGTCAATTACACTCCTATCATTACGGAATACCTAACAAAGTGATAGTATTGTCTTTAAGTGTTATATTATTGTAGTATGATATTTTTCCATAGTTTAACTTATGTAACTGAAAGCAGTTATTTATAAGCTATACTATTTTTATTGTTGATTGTACTAATATATTATATTTTGTGGTTCTGTAAAATAGATACACATAGAACTAACTCATTTCAACCAGTTCGATCCTTGTGTGGGGAAATAAAATCGTCTTCAAGTACAGTAACACTACTATCTACATGGTGAGTAGTACTTATTGGTTTAGTTAATAATGTACATTTGTGTGTACAGTGGGTAAAGTATCATCCATTGGATAAATTTAGAATGGTGAATTGCAGAAAATAGAAAAGGTGAAATAGTTTCAATGCCACGGTTGTTTGTTACTGTTCTTACTCTTGTGCAAGAAACTTAATTGTTTTAAAAGTAGTAAACTTAGGTTTTCAATGGTTCTATTGTTGATATTAATCCATTTTAAAAATCTACTTTGAATAAGACTTGTCATCACAAGAGAAATAACGAAATCACAATCTTGCCTTGGCATCGATTACCTGAATCTGCGTGAACAATTGTAATTGGTGAAAAGTAACATTGATTGAATTAGATGATTGCCCTAAATTATCGTGTTTTACAACTTCATCTCAGCTTCAGATCTGTTTGCATTGCGCTTATCAAAAAAATTGTACCACCTAGCTTCTCACTCCTACCGAGTCATGGATGGTGCATATCATGACTAAACGCCTATCAAATCATAGTTTTGAATAAGTTTTATACCGAAGTGATCAGCGACAGAACCAGTTCACATCTATTCATTTTCCTCTTAGAAAGTATAATTAACTGTAGTGCCTCCACATACATTTGAGTTCGCTTATATTTTATCTGGTTAAGCCTTTCGATTAACTTATTTAACCAAGCCATTTGTATAGCAACAACTTACATGTACTATTGGTATTGCCTGGTTTGTATGAGCTGGTGTGACTGAGCATTGCTTACGCCTACGTGCGTATTCATACTGTTCGCTTTAATATTAATCTCTTAAATATCACGATGACTCAGACATTTTTCTATGTATATATTTGTACATTTGAATCTTATTAATACATTCACCAATCCACCCACTTGGTTGCTAGTGTGTTTCCTTTCTCTGTGTGTTTGTAATATGCTTGTCCATTTTGTGGTGTGTCAAAAATAAACGTATTCAACACCTCGCGTTTGCCTTCTGATTTATAACCATCAGGCTCTATTTGGTGACGACTGCCTGGACGAGCAAATTGCGAAGACTAAGAACACACTGAATATCAACCATCAAAAGAATAGTGATATATTGACCACCACATAACAATCAAATGAGCAAACTAGTGAACATTTTTGTATCACAGATAATCACTTTTTGTACTTTGAATTTTACTTTAATGTTGACTTATATTAGTCCAGGTATAATCACACTGATAGCAGCAAATAAGATATTAACTTTCCTAAACTGAGATGCCTCTAAACTATGAAATAATTTAAGAATAATAAGCGAAATATGAAAAGTAGTGTTCATATTGTCAGTGATTTCATTTATAAAGTGCCCTGGTGCTTAAAAGTTGCTTGTGTATTCATTTAATGTTCAAATCTGTCTCGTTTGTATTGAAAATCCTGATTTTTGGTTTTGTTTGAAAGTTGTTTGGAGTTCCAGATATTTTTCAACTGTAGAAATGCAGCCCTCGCTTTGCCAATCCGCGCCCTCACATCTGCATCCGATCCACCTTTCTCGTCGATGATGCTGCCCAGATATGTAAAGGTGTTAACGTCCTCGAAAGCATCTCCATCAAGCGTGATTTGGTTGGTGCATGTTGTGTTGCATCGGAGAATTTCGCTTTTTCCTTTATGTATGTTGAGACCTACTGCTGCAGAGGCTGCTGCTACACTGGTCGTCTTCTCTTGCATTTGTTGTTGAGTGTTAGATAGAAGAGCCAGGTCATCTGCGAAGTCCACATCGTCCAGCTGCGTCCTAACTGTCCAGTTGATACCGTGCTTCCCTCCAGATGTTGACGTCTTCATAATCTATTCGATGACCAGGATGATGAGTAAGGGTGAGAGTAAGCAACCTTGCCTGACACCGGTCTTCACCTCGAAAGAGTCTCTCAGCTGACCTCCGTGCACGATTTTGCAGTTGATTCCATCATAAGAATTCCGTATGATGTTAACTATTTTCTCAGGCACGCCTTGGTGTCGAAGAAGCCTCCATAGTGTTTTCCTGTCCACGCTATCGAATGCTTTATCGTAGTCGATGAATTTGTTGAAGGGTGATGAATTTCATTCAGTTGATTGTTCCGAAATGATCCGTAATGTAGCAGTTTGGTCAGTACACGATCGATCCTTACGAAATCCGGCCTGTTGATCTCGAAGCTTGACGTCTACGAAGTCCTTCATTCTGTTTAACAATACTCTGTTGCAGACTTTGCCTGGTATTGAAAGAAGAGTGATGCCTCTGTAGTTCTCACAATTGCTGAGGTCGCCTTTCTTTGGTATTTAGATCAGGTATCCTTCTTTCCAATCTGATGGTACTTGTTCCTCATCCCAAATCTTCTTGAAGAGAATGTGAAATATTTTCGCAGTTGCTTCTACATCTGCTTTCATTGCCTCTGCTGGAATGTTGTCTGGTCCTGCTGCTTTGCCGCTCTTGATTTGTCTGATGGCCATACTGATCTCCTCAATTGTAGTTGCGCCAATATTAATTGGGAGGTCCGTTGATGTTGCTTCGATGTTGGGTGGGTTCAGTGGAGCTGGTCGATTCAAGAGCTCCTTAAAGTGCTCTACCCACCTATTTCTCTGTTCTTCAGTGTTGCTGATTACTTTGCCTTCCTTGCTTTTCACTGGTCGTTCTGGTTTACGATAGTTCTCGGCGAGCTTCTTTGTTGTTTCGTACAATTGTCTCATGTTTCCTTCTCTTGCAGACTTTTCCGCCATCATTGCTAGATCTAACACATATTTTCGTTTGTCAGCTCTGATGCTCTTCTTCACTTCCCTGTTTGCTTCTGTATACTCGGCTTGCGCCTTAACTTTCTCTGCTCTTGTTCGGCTGACATTCACTGCTGCCTTCTTGTTCCTCCTTTCTTCAATTTTTGCAAGAGTATCAACAGAGATCCATTTCTTGTGATGGTGCTTCTTGCGACCAAGGACCTCCTGACATGTTGAAGTGATTGCCTCCTTAACCCCTTTCCAATTGTACTCCAATGTTGATTCCTCTCCATTGAGTAAATCCTGAAAGGCCTGGAACCTATTGGTGAGGGCTATCTTGAATTCGTTGAGTTTTACGGTATCCCGAAAAAAGGCTGTATTAAACTTGTGTGATGTTGTCTGCCCCGTTGTCCAGTGCTTCTTTAGCTTCAGTTTCATTTTGGCGACCAGCAAGTGGTGATCCGAGGCTATATCGGCTCCTCTCTTGGTTCTCACATCCTCCATGGTCCTTCTGAAGGTTTTGTTGATACATAAATGGTCAATTCGTTTTTGAGTAGTGTGGTCCAGTGAAATCTATTTGGGTTTGTGACTGCGTTTGTGCGAGAATATTGTGCCACCGATGACCAGTTCGTTGAAGGCACATAGGTTTGCAAATCTCTCACCGTTTTGGTTCCTTTCTCCCAGTCCATGTCTTTTTTTTTTTTTTTTTTTTTTTTTTTTTTTTTTTTTTTTTTTTTTTTTTTTTTTTTTTTTTTTTTTTTTTTTTTTTTTTTTTTTTTTTTTTTTTTTTTTTTTTTTTTTTTTTTTTTTTTTTTTTTTTTTTTTTTTTTTTTTTTTTTTTTTTTTTTTTTTTTTTTTTTTTTTTTTTTTTTTTTTTTTTTTTTTTTTTTTTTTTTTTTTTTTTTTTTTTTTTTTTTTTTTTTTTTTTTTTTTTTTTTTTTTTTTTTTTTTTTTTTTTTTTTTTTTTTTTTTTTTTTTTTTTTTTTTTTTTTTTTTTTTTTTTTTTTTTTTTTTTTTTTTTTTTTTTTTTTTTTTTTTTTTTTTTTTTTTTTTTTTTTTTTTTTTTTTTTTTTTTTTTTTTTTTTTTTTTTTTTTTTTTTTTTTTTTTTTTTTTTTTTTTTTTTTTTTTTTTTTTTTTTTTTTTTTTTTTTTTTTTTTTTTTTTTTTTTTTTTTTTTTTTTTTTTTTTTTTAAATCTGTCTCGTTTTTACTATTAAACTTTGAAAGTTAGCAATAAAGTTAGATTAGTTGTGAATACAAACATATAAGAGATGTTAGTGATATTTATTTAATAATATTACTAACTACATTACTACTTAAAAAGTTCAGTGTTTGGTTTTGATAAACAAGATAATCACTCGTTTATTGTAAGCTAAATGATTTCACTAGTAAATTGTAATTTCAAATATAGTAATAGCATCCGAATCAAAACCACTGTAAAAAGTAAAACACGAAGAATTGTTTTGTTTTAGTTTACTACTTCATGAAAATTTCCACTCCAACAAGTACATTGATCGTAACAATAACTATAATGAATTGTATTAACCTTTTTCATTGGTGAATCACTTCGAAATATTGTTCTTGAAGGTTTTGTGTTATAATACAGCAATCTTGTTGTCCAGAAAGCAAGAGTAAGTCTAATTATTGAACAATTGAACTCTGATGGAACAATACTGTTGAAAATATCCGATCAAGTTGCAAATCTTATTTACCATTTCATACTGTGGTTTTTGTTTCCTTCTGCTATTTTAAGTAAATATATTCTCCGATGCATAATTATTTCCAGTAATTTAGGAAGTTTTATTCAGAAATTTTAACAATCGCTCATTACACTATATAAACATCAGTGATAATTGGAAATTTATAAATTTATAAAGTAAACTTCGAGTAATAAAATGAAACATATTTTGAGATGATATGCATATTTTTGCAAAATTCCATCTACAAAATATAGACTGACGAGATAAATATAAGTGGAGATAAGTTTGCACAAAAACAAAACTTATATGATTCCCTTTTCGTAATAATCATACATTTCATTTAAACATTTAGGCATACATTACCAAAGAAAACTTCCAATGTAAATTCTGATGAAAATCATATTAATCTTCATCATAGTCAAGCAATCTTTGCAAAAAAGGAAAATAATACTGATTTACAACAGAATTCCACTTCTGAAAATAGAAATAGTAAAGAAAAACATCATACAAACTCTTTGATTCCTTATGAAGAAAATTCAACTAATCCATTAATATCGGCAGGCATTAAAGTAAGTCACTGGTCATTTTCATAGATTCAAGAAATATAAAACATATTTCTGTTGTCCTCTTCATTTTCTAAACTATTCATATTTAAGCTTACAGAAGAGTTATAGTTCTTACTTAATAATTTCAGTTTTTGTCTGAATGTTTGCATGAACTGAATATTCGACCACTTGGTATAATCAACGCTAAGTTCGATTGCGGGAACAGATATTAGCAACTTCTTGTCTGAAAAAACCTTGTGCCTAAGAACTCTGTCATTTATGATGTAGTTGTTACGCATACACGTAAACACGTCAACTTGATATGCTTGAACTATTACGAGTTTACTTTAGTCGCAATACGAGAGCGAGGATCGAGGATCCGGCGACAGTAGTACAATTCAAAAAAAGAGGAGGACTATTCTTTTCAATCGTACCAGAATAAGTAATTTTCTTGCTGGAATGCGATTTCGAAGTGAAATCAAATTTTAACATACTTACCAAATAACAACCAAATAATTTTCTCGGGTTTTGGAAGTTTGGTTAGGTGTTGTATATTTTTTGAATTAGATGAAATTTACTCGCAAACTGAAATTAAACATAATAATCCTCAACATTATACATCAATTTCGTAGGTTGTGAATAATTTTAAACTTCTATTCTACTATCTTTGTGATTCATAAAAAATGAACAAGCGCGTCGGTGATGAGATAATTTATTCACTTATTTAAAAATATAAGAAAACTAGTAACAAGAAAGAAATAAGCTTTACATCACTTTAGTTAAAATAGTTTATTTGCAGCTATGGATATTCTAGTAATGTCTTCAAGTTCTGTCAGACTGTCTTTAGGAATTTACCGCTTAACGTTATAAATTTACTGAACTGATTGTTATTCATTACACTTACTTTTAAGAATAGTTTAGTCTGAGTAATAAAATGTTTACGTCAAAAACTATGAAGAATTTAATAGTTCTTTTTCAACTTTACAAATGAAACTGTGATTGTTATTAATTATACAATGATTGTTCGAACGCCATTGAAAGCCTGGAAGTACTGGAGAACCATTTCGTTCTAGTATAGGACTCATCAACAGTGTGCATCCACTAGCCCCGTTCTCGAGTGTCAAACCCAGGGCTTCCGGTCTCGCATGTGGATGTTTAACATCTAGACTACTGGGCTGTCATCCAACAGTGTTAATGTCTGAATTCAATCAATCCGGCTCATTAGTCTAAAGATTAGGCATCCGCACTCAAGACCGAACGTCCTATGTTCAATTCTCACGGACGGGGGTGGTGGGTGCGCACTGCTGATGAGTCCCATATTAAGACGAAATGACTGTCCAGTACAATAATCGATTCATGATTTAAACAAAAAGCTCAACAATCCACAGCTATATACTGAAGATTGTTTGTAATTTTTGATTTTGTAGAGTAAGGATTGCTTACTATCCAGTAGTTTGATGAACAGCACTAACGAACCATACCAGAACGTTTCACGCTTGTTAACTAACCAATCCTTGAATGGATGTCATTATTCTGAGAAATCTTATGAACCAAGGAAAATTAACAATCTAAATCATAAAACAATACAGTAAGACAAATATACACAATTTTCAATTTTCTTGTTTCAGTCCATCTAAATATATTAATTATTTCAGTTCAGTTGAACATAGTTTTTACTTAGTTTGTTGACTAATTTTCAAAAAAATTCTCACAAATACATACTAACTACATTGTTAACCAACAAGTAGTGATAAGTCTTCTTCATTTGCTAACTCTGACTGATAAACAATCTAGGATAAGAAAGTATTTGATACCTGTTTCATCATGATTCGGGACTAATCAGTAATGGTCAAATCTGATTCAACTGGGAATCGAAATTAAGACTTTTATTTGTCTTAACATTCACGCTAAATTACAACCAGTGAATCAGTATCAAATGAATGAGACTTTTACCCTGAGTCAAATCAAGATCTCTGAAGTCTCTTGATTCGTTTCTTAGTTAGGTTGTTGGTGGGCAATGCTATGATGATTTAAACTGAGAAGATTCAGCTATTTATTGTTCGTTTAGTGTTAATAGATAGCTAGTTCAACTCAACGAGTGTTGAGAACTATCGTCCTCCCCTAAACAATTAAACACTCTTTACAATTAAACAAATAAAAATGAGTAGTGTAAGAAAATCTTTTCATGACACTAAATTAATGAGCAGTGTGTACAGTTTTTTGGTTTCATATACACGAAAAGTAATTCTCCGAAATAGCATTTACCATTAAGCTTTTTTAAAATTATGATTTTTATAAATGAAAGAACGAGTGACTATGATTTGTTTGCTTTTACAAACTTTGTTTAAAAGCCATGAACCAAAAAAATTAATCAGTCAGATCGAATAAATGACCAGAATATAATAATTCCTTTAACAAGCATCAAATCATTAAGCCAGTTATCTCAGTTAAGCTCTTCACTATATTATTAAGTTGTTTAAGAGCAACAATCATGTTACAATGTACAAGTAAACAAACAAATATATTGAAATAACTTCAATGAAATCTAAATAAGGATAATACGTAAACTAGACTATACCGAGCTTCATAATTCAGCTCAGATCTACTAATTAGTAGAATACCTATGAATTACTGTTGAGATGACACAGTCTAGGATTCTTCTGCATTTTAATAGCTTAACAGTAATAATAATGATTTTAGCCTTATTATGTTTAGTGCAATATAGAGTTCTCAGCCAGGAATATTTTAACGAGTTTCCTTTTCAATGAATGTTGCCAGCTACTTCGATATCTGGGATTGTACTTTTTGGATCTCTATAGATTGACAAGTCTTAAACTTTTTATATATGCCCCTGAATAGATTGTACAGTTAACAGTCATCATTAGCTTTCTAAAAGAAACAAAAACATTTAACTTGTTGAAACACTTTGGTGCTAGGATATAGGTAGCCCAGATATTCAAGTAGGCTGCCAAGCAGTCCATTAACGTATAACAACTTGACATGAAAAGTAATTTTAAAATGAATCAAATAAAAATATCACCTACCTAATTCTTTTTTAGTTCAACTTCTAGTTTATTATAAGTATTAAAAGATTTTATAAACTACTTGGAAGCTTGTAACTCTTTGTCAGTGGATGACCGTATGATAAATTCATTATGAATAGCTCATACTTTGTGTTTACAAGTCGATTATCTAAAATGATGTCACGATTAGGATCTAACATTAGTAACGCGATGCATGAAACTCCCTAACTCTGTCTAATCAATGATATTCTAAGTTTTGTTATGTTGATTTAACTATTATTCTACATTTCAGGAATGAGAAAAATTTTAATGGAATCCATAGCAAATCAAAATTACTTCCTGTTTCTTGTGGTAACTCAATCAAAACTATTATTCCTTCTGTCAATAATATTGATCGGAATGCAAATAAAAAGTCTGAGTTTATCAATAATCATTACAATTTGCCATTTCATAATCGATTTCCACGTGAAATACGGCAAAATGAACAGTATCTTGACCATAGTATAACTTCACAATCATTTTCTTTGAAAGGAAGATATGATCATTCAAAGGGAAATATTAATCAAGTTACTGAATGTGTACAAATACCTGATGTAACTCTTAACAAAGAAGAAGTAAGCCATAGTATTAATAAAAATGTTATAACTAATGATACTTTTCTTTAAGAGTGTGTGAGTAAACTGTATAAAAATCGGATAGTACTCAAGGCATCGACAAAACATGCCACTTTAGTTAAACACTTAATACTATTGTAAAAAAACTGTAATCTAATAGAATTCGACCTAAACCAAGTTTTAAATTTTAATCAAACCTAAGAGATGATCAACTTTCTTTATCACCATTTTTACTATTCCTAATCATAATTTCCAAAGACACTATTTATTGCTTGCACACTGTTTACAATCCAAAGGTATTTAAATCCGAATTTGTTGTACATTTATTTAATATTTTATTCTTAATAGATCTTGGCAATCATTAATGAACGTGATGAATTGTATGAGATATTACGAGCTAACGAAGAGGAAGCAAGTGCACGTTATTCCACAGAAAAACGTTTAATGAGTATTAAACAAGAATATACCGCTGAGCAACAACGTTTAAGACAAATTATTACTGCATTAGAAGAGGTAAAACAAATACTCAACGGTTTTCATCCTTTTTTATACTTTAATGTTTGGATCTTATTTTCCACAGGTAACAAAAATTTGAAACAGCTGTTTGGCATGTTTTCGATTATGAATTTTATCAAGACTAAATTTCGCTCCATAAGCTTTTATGGTTAGCGCATTATTATTTTCACTTATTTAACCAAACTGTAAATAGTGACATAATTTCACTCAAAAGTTCTCTGAAACACAGAGTTAAACTCGTCCGAATAAGACGAGAGGCCTCATTCATTATGTCACTAACTAGTGACAATATCTAGGATACTCATCGATAATTTTCTTTTCTGCTTGATTTGTAAATGATTAGTAAGCACATAAGTATTACTAAAGCGATGATCAGATTTAAAAGGATAAATGAAAGTCATCTCAGAGTCTGTATTCAGCAAACGTCATTCATGTGAATAGTGAAACCGATATCACGTTTGTTAGTATATTGTACTTACCATGATACTTGACGATCATGCTGTCGAATTTTTTAGAGTTTGTGGGTAATTGCTTGAATGGATTTCGAAACTAGGATAAAACATCCACTTAGCTTTTCATGGTCTCCATCGGTCTAATAGGAAATGGTAGTTTGAAATGGAAGCCATAGTGTTTAATTTTTATTATTATGTCTTACAGAATTATGCAATCAAATACAATGGATTCATCCTATTCTGTGGACTGTTTATCATTATTAATATGGTACAGAAGATTTTTAACATCTGATGATGCATCTTTGCCAAGTTCGTTTACTTAATTTGTTATTCTTACAGGAATTAGAAGTCACAATGTGTCGTCTTAATCAATTAACAGCTGAGAGAAGTAAATGGATAACTGAATTAGATGAAACAAAAAATGAACGAAATGAAATGAAAGAGAAATTGAAAACTGTAGAAGAAAATCATAAAGTTGAATTAATCGAGTTGGAAAATGTTCGTTTGTTATTTTATTTACATTTACACTTTATGTTGGTGTATATAGTCCATCGTAAAGCATATTTATGAATTTAAGGACTTTTTCCAACATCTTGAATGTTTCAATTGACATTTCGCAAGTATCCGCTCATTATTTAAAAGATGATATTTCAAGTAGGCCCACAGATATCATTTTATCATATCATGTATGAGAAACTATAAACTAAGTGATTATTAGATGTTACATCAACGAATACATCAATCTTCCAACTTTCATTCTTTCTCATGTCGCTAAACAACTTTAGAATAATAAATATAGCCCTTTAGGATTTTACATAATATTTATTCTAAAATATTGTAATGACAGTTTCAACCTTGTACAGTTTAAATTTACATAGATTATTCAACCAGTATGGATAAATTTGATTATTGGATTGATTTATCTACTTGCTTATGTTTCAGCTGCGAGAAACAGAGTACATATGGCATAGAAATTTGCAGTATTTTTCACTGTCTTGCAATATTATTTGCAATACATAAATGCATATATACATTTGTAATACATACGTTGTTGAATTGGCCGAAATGATCGACTTTATTTACTTAGCTGACTCTTAGTGCTGATAATTCTTGACAATACTTTTTTACTACAACTAATTTAAGTTTGAATGTAAAGGTTTGTATTTATCCGTTGATATACATCATATATTCCAATTATTTAGTTTCCTATAGTTTTTATTTAGGGCTAACCTAAGTTAGAAAACCAATATAAACCAGCAAGCACTTAGTGGAGGCTTTATCTTGACAAGTATCTCCTCAAGCAACCATTCCAGAGGATTTAGACTAAGAACTTTACATCCCTTGAGGAGTCACCAACCTTCAAACCATTCACTGGTTTAAAATACTAATATCACTCAATTCATAATGGTTCAGTGGTCTAAATTTCAAGCGCTCTCAAAGATACTCGAAAGTTTTAAGTTTGATTTCGATAGGGTCATCTATGTGTACTGCTGGACATTCCTATACCTTGATGAAATATATCCCCAGTGCTTCCTGGTCTTAAGTGGCTGTCTGACTACAGTAAATTTATCGGGTATACACTAATACTCGACAGTTTTCACATACCCTCTATCCTAGTTAGTTGGTAAATGCACATGGTGACCAGGTTGCCGTTACAATGTGATGGAATTTATCTAATCGAAGCCACATCAAAACCGGTTTTAAAATAACTCTGAAAAATAAAGCTATTAAAATTCAACCTTCGTATTAATAAACAAAATAGAAAATTGATTAGCTATCAAATCTGAAATGTAATTTTCATCTGTTTATCATACTCATGCAGACATATCAAGAGAAATTGAAACAAATGAGATTAGATGAAATTAAAAACTCTGAAATGATAACAAAAGAATTCGAATTGAAAATGAATAATTCTATCAATGAAAAATTACAACAAGCCACGGAATTCGAAGAGAAATTACAAAAATTAAATAAAACAATTAAAGAAATTGAACAAGAGAAAGAAAATTTAAGGTAAACACTCTTATTTGCATATATGTTTATATTCATGAAAGATAAATTAATCAAGGTCATGCTATTTGAAATGATTCAGGTCAATAATTTTTAGAATAAAAATGATTTTGATTTTATGTATATTGTAAATTTGACTGGACAAACATACAAATGTTCATTTATAATTAACTTCTCAGATTGAATGTGAACTAGTTAGATCAATATCATTATATAAATGACCGTTCACTGTTATATCATGTAGCTCAAGGTTTTGTACAAAATAAGTACTATATTCAGTTCTAACTTCTTTAACGACTCATCATTCATAAGAATGTTTATGTTATGCTCGTCACTTGCAATGCTTGAAACTATTATGGGTTCACCTTAGTTGATAAACGAGAACGAGACAATGAATAGTGTCTGGGTAGGCTACTCTGATCTGTTCACTAACGAAGAAGTCCTAATTTGGCGTAGAAAGTGTATTCTACAAAAACTCAGCAATCACAATGAATGAAGCACACAAATCGCGTTTATATTTACATCATAGTAACGTCGTTGGGAGAGTCATAAAGGTAGTACACTAAAATAACTCAGCAACCAATCACAACCGAGGATTTTCCTGGTGGGAAATGTGATCTCAAGGTCAACTGATCAGCCCATGAATAAATCCAAAATAAAGACATTTATCAAGCGAGTTTTGGGGATCTTACTTCCCCAACAGTTTAGTTCCATGAAATAAACATTTATACGACAAGACCTTACAACATCGTCATTTAAGACTTCAGAATGAAATGAGCTGTTGGGATTTTCGTCCAAGTGAACAGTGAGTGTCTATAAATGTGATGTTACTAGTTGCACACCTATTTTGATTAACTTTTACCTTTATTTGATCTTTGACCTCGCGATTAGATACCCTTGTTTGGGTCCCCAACTCCAACTGTGTAAAATTTCTAATAGCTTACTTCTCGTTGGATTATGCATTGACAACGTTTGTCATGATAACAAAACTGTTAGGGTCATACAACATCTCCAAAAATAAAACGGCAAATTATTAGATTGTTTCAATCCTGTACACAAACGCCTTAACAACTTATCTATACGAATATTTACTTGGTGGCAAAAGCATCATTCTTAAAATTTTCAAATATTTGATTATATTTCACTTCAACTGCTGGAGTTAAACTCCAGGACTTAATTTGGACGTAATAGATTGTTAATATTGAGTTTAGTATGATAAAGCTTTTAGGGATTAAACTTCATTTGAAAATACTTTACTATACTGTTAATATTTGGAGGTTTCTTCAAAAGAAATTATAGAATACTGCCATAAAATTGAAGCTCTCCGGAAATAAGTAATAAGGAATAAAAGTTCTCCAACTGTTTATTTACTCAACTGAAATATCTATTAAGTTGTGTCGAGATTTGTTATATCTTGTGAAAAACAATATTTTCTTAACAATGTAAATTTGAGTGATAAAAACCTTTGGAAGACACTGCAAAACGACCAAAGAGTCACGTGAAAGTTAAAAATGAAATTCCATTGGCGCTGAATTATTGTTGAATTGTTATTTTAGATCAGTACAAACTAACTAAAGGGACCTATAGTATACATAGTAATTAATTTATTTTACGATCACAAACAAAATTATTATATTTTGTATCATTGGCTAACAGTACAGCCTAATGTAGATGCATATGTGTTTCGTAATGATATCTCTTGAACTTGCTTAAGTTAAAACAACGGAATATGATCAACTTTTAATTTAATCCACGTTGTAAAAAAACTGGATAGATTATAAATTTCGTTAGTCTGAAAATGATAGTAATAAATAAAATATACCATTTTGATCATTAATGGATTAATAGATCTGAAAATATGGAACTAATTAAAGAACACCGTCAGAAAGAAAGATTACTTCGTAGTGAATATGAAGAGATTTTAGAAAGTAATTCTGTTGAAAAAGTAAGGTGAAAGTTATAGATTGGATTAAATTGTTTATTTTTATTTATAATTAGTTTAATTAAATACATTGTTTTTGTGTGATACTCACTTTAATTACAAGAGCTTAACCATGAATGTTAACAGTGACTGGAAGAATGATTATAAACATTCATATCAGATATCCGATTATATTTTCGCCTACTTTACTGGTGATTACATTAGAAACGTTGTCAGACCCGAAGATAACAATGGTAAGTCTTAGGAAGTAGAGTAATTTGACAGCGGCATAACAGTGGTACTATAATCTAAACGGTCTAAATAAAAGATGCATTTCGTTTTCGTTATTTGAGACAAAGACCGACCTGAACCTCTTCATGATGTCCTGAAGTTTGTGAAGCTAGCTCCTGATAATCCCCCCACTTTGTCTGAAATACGGATTTGTAGAAAGGGACGTGTAGTACGGATAAGAGTGAACTGTTGGACTGGAGAGCGAATTTTTCTTTTGATGTCTACCTGGTTTATCTCTAAAAAGGCCCCTTGAGTCTGATTGCGGTGGGTCAGAACGATTGACTATAAATTGTACCGTAACCAGTGCTATTGCGTGTTGACACGGGATTGTGGCATGAGCGTGATGTAGCACAACGTCAAAAGATGACTAGCAACACAAAATCTCTCCTTTTTATACTCCCGACAAGCCAATAGGCTTTCCTATCTCAGTTGGAGCAGTTTATTGGTTTTTCTATCTTGAAATAAAAAGCACATCAAAATTAATTTAATTGATCATAAACTAATGTCTTATGTGTATGTCATCCTTAAGTTTACATTTCACTGTGTTTCCCATGCCGTTCGATATACATGTTTATATATATATATATATATATATATATATATATATATATATATGATTTTTAAGTAGGTTAAGAGATGTCAGTTTAGCGGAAACACACGAAACAATTAAATGAAGACAAACTTTAAGAACCATATTTAGAGCTCCACCTTGTGTGTGTGAATTGATGGTTACTGTTGTAACGCTCTATTAATAACTCCCAACTAATTCCTATTACTTAGTATTCTCTGACCACAATACACTGGACAGGTTCCGAAATCAGAACACGATGGAACAGGAAAAGATTATATTCCAAATAAGAATATAAGAAGTCAAAGGCGAAGGCAAAATAGATACAACGTTAGTGTCCCCATAGTTTTTACATGAGAATCTTCTGGAACGCAATCCACGTGATTGACTAGCACTGACCGGATTAGGTTCAGCTAATCAGCATGCAGCCAATAACACGAGAATTTTCTAGCCTGCTCTCCAAGTATGGGCCAGGCGCTGATTGGTTAGGAAGTGAGCCAATCAGCGTGCAGCTAACGCAGTCATACTTTAATCCGCCGATGTCCCACTAACACCTCCCCTTTGGGAAGATTCGCAGGATCTGGTACTAGAGTCCAACTGCTTCCTGGGTGCCTTGCCATCCGTACTCTTACGAACCGCCTGCTTTGTAGGTGCTATATCTGTGAACAACCGTCGATTGGACTGCTTACCCATCAATAAGTTTTGTTGAGGCTAATGAGCAGCATATGGTACAGGGCGTCTCGGACGTAAAATACGTTGGCCATCTGCTTTCACTGGTAAGTGAGCTTTCATATTCGTACAGCGGCCAAGGCTATTCTGAAAAACAGCAAGTTATACGTTTCTCTAGACACTAAGATAATATCTGATGCCGTGTTGATCTGAAAACGAGCTGATGTACCGTTTATCTGGATAGTAACATACTTTCTCCGAACGTCATAGTCTGTTTGAAAAGCAGCTACCATAGAAAGTGATTTAGACTCGGCTAATTTCACCACATGTCGAGTACGTTTATGCTTCTTCCTGGGTTGTATTGGTTAGGAAATGAGTCAATCAGCGCGCAGCTAGCGCAGTCATGCTTTAATCCATCTATGTCCCACTAACTAACTGAAATCCCGTGAACTACTCAATTACTAGAAGCAGGATTACACTTATGTGACATATTATATACCAACACACTGGTAAGAGTAGTGTCATTCATTAGTACAACGTCAACTTGATTTTTTAAGTTGTATGATTAAATAATGGTCGCTATTGACTTATATTGTAAAATGAATCACTACGGTTAACTATTTATGACAGAAAATAATATTGAAGGTTTGTGTTTTTTAATTATAATGTATTGTTTTGTGGAAAATTAACTGTGTTAATTAGGAGTAGTTGTATTCCGTATTCGAACTAGTGATATTTCAAGATGTCCTATTCGTACAGTAGTAGTACATGTATGTACCAGTACTGAATTCAAAAAGAATTACGTGAGCACAAACAAAGTTATTGTATTTTCGAATTCAAATTAGGCACGGAATAATGTGTAAACAAATCACTGTTGTATACATCCTTCATGATAACCTAAAACCTGTTCGTGGAGAAAAACGTAACTTTACCCTCAGAATGATTAGCATTGGATACAAATTAATGATTTAGATTAGTAACTAAGACTTTACAAATGAATATTCTCCCTTCTTCTCAAAATCCTACATTTATGTAGGAAACGACGCAATCAAGGTATATATCAGATGCATAATTTATGAAGATTTGTAACGAGCAAAATATTTTTACCATTCCTATTCGTAAACATGATACCTTTTAACTAAAATTCCAAATGTAGTAGGTTCGTAGGCGCTTGCAATAAATAAATAAATCTCACGTTTTTTTTGTTGAATTGTCATTAAGGTGCATTCATAATATCAGTAGTCATTATGAACTGATTTGATTTTAGCTGTGCATGTTAATTTTAGAACAACACATATAAGCGAACAATATTGTTTTCGATTAGATCGTCATCAGGCTTTACTCTAATATACATGAATATTTATATGAAAATGTTAAACCAATCAAGGCAATTTGAGAAATGATGGAGGTATACAATAGATCACCCGAAAAGATCTAGATTTATCTACAATGTGACCACTATCTACCAGGTGTGCTAAGATAGAACTGCGTATTGTTTTTGACTGACCCTTCGTAAACCATGCTGGGAGATGTTCACTCATTCGTTGGTTAAGTTGCCTGGACGTACGCCCGATATAGCTATCTCCACGATCTAATCGAAAACAACATTGTTCGCTTATATCTGTGTTGTTCTAATTTTCACAATGGGAATCTTTAAAATATTAATTTTAATTGAACGAAAATTCTCTCCATTATTGAAGTAATCTTCAGAAATTACTTAACTAGATTGTAACAGTGTATCCATTAGTAACTTACTGTGAGATAGATTAATGAGGAATTGTTTCAAGTAGAATATAGCCGTTTCATGAATGAGAAAATCATTGGCGATGAACAATGGATAATAGTCACACAATATCACTCATCAAAATGAAGTTTAATTTCACTTCATTTGGCGAATGGTCAACTCCACGTTAAGAAATATGAAAATTCTTAGCCCATTACCTAACAAAGTAATGAATTCCCACTGGTTAAGTGTCTTACAACATCAGAAAGATTATTTTACTCTTACTGTTGGTTAAGATTACGGAAATGTTTAAATAAAATTAATTATAATATCAAAGGAAATGTATTTTAATCAAATGACATCAACTTAAAGACTAATGACAAATAAAATAAACTAGACAGCGATTTCATTCGATTTCCAAATTTTTTCGACTGAAATCCTCATCTCACTCTTCAAGTTTTTTGCATCAATAATTAGTCTCTTAATTTTAAATTACAATTGCAATTTAGTCAGATATTTTGCAATCTGAAAATATTAAATATAATAATCATTAGATTTCGTTTATTTTCACTCTAATTAAAAGAGTAAAGAAATATCTAAATTAATGGATAGTCATTCGGTTCAAATAAATGAACTAGTTGAACAAATGCAAAAAGAAAAAATTCAAGCAATGAATGATATCCGATCGTGTTATACTGAAAATATTCAAGAATTACAAAATAAATTACTGGTAAATTGAATACATTTATTATTTCATTCATTAATTTATCATATAGAAAATAATATGTATGCATAAAATTGCTGATTATGTATGTATGCATTATAGGGTGATTATTGATGATTCAAGAGTCTATCATTTATTATTTGTATTGTTAGTAGTTTAATGCTAAACATTTGATCTAGTATTAACCAATGTCATATTGTTGAATTCTTTGTATGAACAGAATTATACCGAATAACTAAATCCCATCTGCGGTGTTTATTAGATGAATAGTGGAATCTAGGATGTGTGTTTCGTCCTATTTTGGATCCATCAGCTGAATGTGCCTACATTCCAGAGTTGATGTCCACTCTGGGATTTGAACATAGTACCGTCCTACAGGTGAATAACATGATAGTGTCCAAAGTAAACGGTACTCAAGTCGAGTCCTAGAGTGAACATTAACGCTACGACGCAGGTACATTCAACTGATGAGTTCGAATAAGGACGAAACACACGTCCCGGATTCCACTACTAGCTACCACCCATTTATGCTAAGAATACTTGTTAGGCAATACGTACAAGATGTTCATATATCAAAGGTACTGATCAATTACAGTTTTAAACATCAATGGGAAGATTAACACTATCATTACATTCTAAGTAAAAGCTAGATTATAGCCATCTTCAACTAAATATATAAACTTTAACGGTACATAATTCAGGTCCAATTCATGTAATTAAACAGTTACTTCTATAATTCGATAACATTAGTCGAGTTATTTGAATACAATTTACGTCACTACATTTTATTCACTGAAGTTTACAATTTTACCGAATAATCATCATAAATCTATTAGTTAACAGTTTCAACTATCAGTTGAATAACCTGTGAATGAATTTGTTATTTAACTCTTTGATTTGAATTTATTTGCGACAAATTTAAGAATCCTTATTATTGATAAACTGTTGATTTACTCATTTCTTACATTGATTGTTAAAAAATCTACTGTGTTTCAATGGTACATGAAGAAAGTTCACAAGAAAAATTATAAAAGTGAATATGTAGCCATAGACCGAATTCATACCCAGATAAAATCATTGTGTATTAATCTATTTCTTTTTCATAATGACCACCTATTTCATTCTAGTCTAAACAAACAGAAATTCAAACTCTAAATGAAACATTAACAAATACACAGAATTTATTACATGAAAGTCGTAATCAAGAAATTTTAGAAAAGTTAAAAGTTCAAACAGTTGAAGCACATTCAAAAGAATTAGCTGAATGGGAAAAAGAAAAATTTGAATTATGGAAAATTAAAATGAATGAAATAAAAGATGAAAAAGATTCATATATTGAAACAATGAAACAAGAATTACAAGAACAAAAAGATCTTACAAAATTTTATCAAGATAAAATGAAAACTATTCAAAAAGTAAATTCATTTTCTTTTCAAAAATGAATGTTTGTATTGTTTATTTACGTATTCTCATTCAAAAAGCAAATATCAATTTTGTTAAATTGTTGCAAATCAACTATCAAAGTTATCCTGATTGATGATTTTACTCATGGTCGAGAAAATTTGTAGTTCAGGTGGATGATTGTGGTGGTGCTTCGTTCTCTAAGCTGGATCTTTCGGTTGTGGAGCTTTCGTTGTTCTTCTGAACAACATCATCAGCACAAACTTCAGATAGGAGTGAAGTATTCGAATTTCTCCACGTTTGACCTATGGCGTGTTCTGTTAACCTCGATCTTGATTGGTTGCTGTTGACCTTAAATCTGTCGTTGTTTTCATCTATGCTTTGATTGTATCCCCCTTTTGATCTGTTTCTTGATCCTATATCGCCTATGATTTTTCTGATTGGTTAGTGCCAAGCTTGGCACTCAGATCAATCAGCAATTAACAAACACATCGATACTGACGCAATTTATTTTTAATGTTGTATCCCTTGATATTTTTGCTTATTATCATTTATGAGTTACAAATATTTTTATATTTAAAATAGAAAAAGATAGCGATAAGTCTCACCTTTGAAATCATTATTATCTAAAGTGTCAAGTTAATAATTTCATATAACGACATTTCAAAAGTTTAAGTTATACAAAGAAGTAACAGTAAGTTTTATAGTATGGTAAACAAATCATACAGTTAATTTAATACTGGATTTAAGATGTCGGTTAATGTGTAATTCTTCATCTGTCTGTTACTTGTAACACTGATGTTTTGTAGATATCTCAATTTTCATAAATCATTATTAATAGTGAAGTGAATTAAGCCATTGTTTATTGAAAATGCTCATCCCTTTCGCATTTTATATGAATTTTTGATAATAATTTACCATATCTAATTTCTTTTTATCGCATATGCAATACACAATCGATATTCTTTGTTAAACATTTAAAAATATAAATGTGAAAAGGACAAATTTTTATTTGTTCAAAGTAAAATATTTATTCAACTTTTAACTATAATGGAATTTGTCCAAATTACTTGTTCAAAGAGAATATTTTTGATCTTTAAATTTCACTTAAAAACTAGCATTCGGGTAATTTGATCACGACTTTGAATTAATACCTTTTTCGCTGAGTAAATATTCATGTTATGCTGTTATCTTAATTTCACTTTCAACCATAGAATTATTTTTCTTTTATTCATGTTGTGTTTCCTAAAGATGTTCCCATTGTGTTTAAATGCGATGAATATTTTTTCTTATTAGGTATTTTCCAAATAAGTCAAATAAATATTTACATCAAGATTGGATTAGTAGAAGATAAAGATGGAGTTTTGTTGTTAATACTTATAATACTCACGAATATAATCCAAATACTGTTACTGAAAATAGAAAAATTATTCATACATTCATGAAAGTATGTTTGCTAGTTTCAATGTTCACGTAGGAAGTGTTTCAAAATCTACATAAATGATAATCAAATTTCAAAGTAAAAAAACACATTGATTCGTTTGAAAATAATGTTGTGTTTTCATTGGCTACTTATTCGGTTTTGAACTCGATAATTCTATGATTGCATAAACTTTACTAAGGTGAACACTTAAGAAATTTGAGAATTATTTATACATCTATTATATATTATTAATTCATATTTAGTCATTATAATAAATATTTAACACTGTTGTTACATTGATGAATATTATCAGTGCATACAAACTAAGGAGATTAATTTTAAATTGTGATTTTTGTTTTCTGTGAATTCAGGATTCTGATACATATCAAAATGAATTAGAACGAAAAATAATCGCATTGGAAAATCAAATTGAAACTTTAAAAATGAAACATGAAATGGATATCAATGAGATTCAACAAATCTGTAATCAAGTATGCGCTAAAACTGATAAATATTTATAGATGATTAAGAATGAATGTGAATTTTCAAACTGCAACAAACTGAATTATTCATTTCTGATTAGTTGAACTATTATTCTACATAATTTTAATTTATTTCCTTTTTGTGTAACAACGTTTCAGTTTTTGGTTCCAACAATCATTTTTCTGTGCAAGAACTCAACAATAAATAACAGATACAAAGATTAAGTATATAACTTTAAATAAGACCTACTAAGACATTTGATCAAGCTGTCTACAGGCAACTGTTTACTTATTCAAACCTTTATGATAATGTTTTAAACTAGTATTCAACTAGTAATTTTATTTGGTTCTCAGTCTGCTAGTCCAGCTGACGAGAAGATATAAGGCGCGCCACTGTTTATAAACCTTAGTTAAATAAATTTAATACTATGCTACTTTTGTTCAATAGAAACCAACTGTTTGAACCCAATTCGAGAAAGAGATTTCTTATTAATTCTACCAATCCACTGTATTGTTATAGAAGTAGAATAATGAATAGTCAGTGTTTTCAATCACTTGTTTTAGAAATGAAATATATATTAAAATCAAAAGTATTTACAAGTTACATTACAGCTCGGAAGAACTTTCAAATTCTAAACTTTTAGGTCTAAACGTACAATAATATTTGTGTTGAATTTTGTTTACACTGGTGACTATGACAGTGACTACCACAATTTATTTTACTTGTTTTATACTACTAATAAGTAGATAAAAATGTTTCTCTAAAAGACTAAAGGAATAAAAAGACAAGTCTCTAATGTTTCTAACGCGTCGTCCAATAAAAGAATCCAGCGAGTCCAGTAACTTTGTCTTATGATCAAATCTTTTAAAATGGAATACTATAATTTAAGTTACTTCCCTATACTAGTTACCCCCTTGTGGAGCATATACTTCTGACCAGGATTCTTCAGCCAACTCTGTCCTGGACTCTCCTTTCCAGTTGTTTACAACTGTTATCCATTTTGATGTTTGCCTGTAATTTATTGAGTAGTGTGTTCTTTGTTCTGTCTTTTTTCCTTTGGCTTTAGGGATTTCAAGTTTGGGTTTGTCTCGTGACGCAGTTAGTTGTTTCTGGCAATTTGTCCTATCAACCTATAGCGCTTTTTTCTAATTTCTTCATCAACTGAAATCTGCTTTGTCCATTCCCATAGGTTGCTGCTCGTTGTGTCTGGTCTACAGATCTCAAGTATCTTGCGTAGATAGTTACTAATCAGCACCTTTATCTCTTGAATGATGGTGTTGATAGTTCAACAAGTTTCCGCACCACACAATAGGACGGTTATGACGTTTGTATTGAAAATTCTGACTGTGCTGTTGATTGACAGTTGTTTTAAGTTCTAAATGTTTGTTAACTGTAGAAATGCTTCTTTTGTTTCTCCAATCCGTAATTTTGAGTCTATGATTCAGTTACTTTAGTTTTGTTAACCAAGGGAATTTAAATGAGTATCTTGTGAGTTCTTTAAAATCTAATTTAGCAGGTATCTTTAAAACAGAGTTTAAATATCTTATCATCAGTTGACTTTAAAAAAGTGATTTTTTGTTATATGACTGATTTTACATTTGACTGCACAATTAACCGTTATGTATATAAAGACTGCAGGAATAAACGATATTCTGAGAGCATAAGTAATATGAATTATTGATGAGATTTCTTGAGTAATATGACGCAAACTAATTAATTTGTGAAACGGTTTAATGAACACTATGTTCAAGGTAATGCTAATAGTATTTTAGGAGGTTGATGAGTAAAAATAAACTTCTATACAAAGAATTTCAAATGAGTCTATTTTAATAGTTTAAAATATCTCCCAGTATACTGAATTCATCAATCACATCCAATTATTCATACATCCCTGAATGCAAACAAAAAAGGGTTTAAAAAATCGAATCGGAGAATTTTAGTTTTATTTTATAAAAGGTGAAAATGACTAATTAAACTTTAATGACTCATTACATCATTTATTCATGAATATAATTTGCATAGATCATAAATCCTAAGCAGTGTACATGTAAAATATATATATCAGTCGGGCTACAAAAGAAATCACTGATCTTTTCTGTACTCATGATAAGCACTTTGGAAGAGGGAGGCTTATATACAATTGAATAACCGCATTTCAATCGTTGATTTGTCAGACGGTAGAGTGAACTTAGATACGAATGTTTCCATTTGGAGTTTCGTCTACTTTAATATCTCTTCAGTAATCATTTTCTTTTATTAATATTTACTTGCTTTTTAGAAAGTTTCCAACATGGAATTACAACATTCTCAGGAGATGAAACAAGCTGTCGAAACGGAAAATGTCACTGTACAAAAACAAGTACAAGAAAAAATTCAAGCAGAAAAAGATAAGATTTTAGATCATCTTATTGCTTCGTCAACATTGATCGCTTCGAAAATTGGAAATTTAATCAATGATATTTATCATACTGTAGAATGGAATGTACAGAATTTATACAATTTCTCCGATTTTACTTTAGATTTAGATGCACAAGTTGCGTAAGTTGAGTATTTTGTTTAACAATATTTGACATTTGATAATATTAGCTAAACCAATGAAGCTGAAAATATGTTGTTAATTAGAATAAAACTTAAGGATTTAGTACTACACATACTGAATTCTGGTTACACTTACTCTGTCGTTGAAGTTGCAAGAAAAATCATGTATACATATCACAAAACATAAATTACTTAATAGTCAGTTTTTAGTAGTTGATATTGAACCGCTATCAGTTAACAAGTGCCCTTTAAAGAATCTTTTCAAAGAATCCGATTCGATGATCGAGTTAAACATAAAATCTTGAAATCAAAAAACATGTTCTCTTTAAAATATAGTTTATATATAGTAGAAAAAACCAATAAGATAAATGAACTTTACAAGCTTCGAATCATGAAGTATTCATGTGTTAGATGATCCGCCAGTAAGATTACACTTCGCTGAATTTTATAAGATCCAAATTACAACACATCATGTAAACGAAGAGATATCATATAGCCCTGCCGAAAACATATACCGGCAATCGGCGAAGGTTGAACTGATAGCTGTGCATCCAAAATAGACAGACTGTTCTGAATAAAATAACGTCTCAACAATGGCAAAGAGAAATACTGCAACAAACAAGAACACAAATATAAGTCTAAACTCGAAACATTTTCTCTTAAAGTTTGTCTTAAGGAGTTTGTTCTTTAATGTTTATTGCATTGAATACACAATGAAAGTTTTAGTTTGTCTTTGATAGGTTCAGTTGTTCGACTTTTCATATAAACCTGATCTCGAAATCTTAAAACAAAATTCAGCAGTCAAGTCATTCATTTGATAAATCGTATGCTGATTGATGATTATTGAAGAGTAACCTATGTTGCGATTGTCCGACTAAATTCTTCTGCTTTAACAGCAAAAGTTAGCTGATACCAGGACTACCAATTACTTTAAGATTTTGCGATCACTTCTGGTTGCTGGATGCTAACTAGCACGAAACTTAATTCCGACATTTCTTAACAAGTTTCTTCCTTTGATAAATTTATTTGAAATTAACCTAGTTAACAAAGTAAGACAAATAAAGCTTTTTCCAATTTTCAAAGTTATTTCCTCCTACAATTGCTTTCTGAAAGGTTAAACAAAGAAATTGAAATACCGAATATCATAAAGAAATGGACTATCAATGATATTTCTATAGAAGGTGTAATGGAATCACTTATAACACACATAGATGAATTAATGAATAATTTGAGAAAGAATTCAGTTGATATTTTAGCACAATTACAACGACGTAAAGATGTATTAATAAAACAAGTTAAGAGTGAATTAGATAATGCTCAAAGTACAATTAAACGTATTCAACAACAAGCTGAAACTGAACAAGAAGAACTTAAAGTGACATTGAAGGTGAAATTATTTTTCATTGCAGTTTGAATTAATGAATAAGGATGATCTACATTATTTGTCTGAGTTTGTATATAGTTGTTTTGTAAATGACCTCAGCACTTGAACCCCAAATATTGAGGTACATTATGAGCTTATAATTGGAATAGATATATTGGATTGTGTTAAATCAGTATCGGCCTACTCACACCTTTGTGACATCTACCTCCTAACTGATAAGATATGAAAACGAATCTACTACTTGTCGATTTGTTTCAATTGAATTATCTTAAATGTTAACTGCTTATTTTCACACACTACTTCTTTGTTCATCTTTTAAGTAACAAATATACTAGAGTACATGCATTTACATATGATGAGTGAAAAAACAAATGTTTATAATATTAGCAGTATATAAACAAGTAAACGATTGTTAGTGTTGAAAACATCAATCAAATGTTTTGAAATAATTACAATTTGAATAAATATGAAAATGACCTTTATTGAGATACTAAACTTCGCGCAGTAAAAAAATTGCCAGTAATAAATAAATAAAGTAATAAAGTAACAAAGCTATTAATTATGATTGTTATTACAGATGATAATTTAAATTAAATTGATGAAATATTATATCATTTTATTTAAATTTAGCACTATTGTACCAGAATTGAAGAGTTAGAAGATGAAACTATGAGAAAGAAATTAATTGAACAATTAAAGCTAAAAGATGATGAAGTTGAATGTTTGAAAAATGAAATACAACAATTACAACAAGAAATTAAAAAACTAACAATTGAAAGAAATAAATCAGATAATGAAGAAGTAAATGATAGGTAACTTCCCTTCATCAATATATATATATATATATATATATATATATATATATATATATATATATATATATGCATTTAGTTGTCATGGTATTCAAGCAGAAATATGAGATACTATTGAGTAACATATGAATAAGAATATTTTGCATAGTTTTATATAACTTGAGAGTATTTGGGGTGGAATTTCTTCATTTCGCATGAAGAGATCTGTTGTGATGCTTTTAACTCCATCAATACCAATAGTAAGCAAAGATTTCAGTAACTAAAACATAATGTGGCAGTTGGAATGTTTTGTGGTTTACGTTATCATACATTAATTCAACACCGAGAGACAGTAAACCAAAAAGATTAGTAGGAAGGAAGTAGAAATAACAATATTCCTTAAAATGGAATGAAGAGGAGTCACAACTTAATATAGAAAGGTCGAATAAGGGAAAGTATGGCTTCCACCGTAAGCTAATTTGAGCCATGATATCTGACCAAAACTATAGATCACAGTATACGTGGGCTCTAAACAAGGACACTTATACCTCCTGACATGAATCAGCCTAATCGTCGAAGGTTTGATACAACTCAGTTTAACCACTATCAGGCTTTTTAGAACCTACTTTCATGAAAGCCAGCATAAAGTGACAGGATATGTACTGGATCGATAAATGTTTCACCTTTTACAACCTTATCAGTCAGTAAAGATATGAACTTCTGTTGATTTCAGATTACTGTCTATGATTACATCTAACTCAAACATTTGTTAGTTAATCAGAAATCTCAACTTATTCGAATAATGCTTCAAAAAGACACCTATGGTAACTTGTAATTTTTTCAACAACTATAATAGAGGAACCACTTCTACTGGAAGACTATACATCACTGGTTAGGTTTGTCAAATCTGATGCAGGAATATTTTTAAAATAAAATCCCCATCACGAATGAGTAGGAGTCTGAAACACACACATTAAAATGAGCAGAAAGTCTATGCAATCAAAATATGTAGATTTTTTTTAAAAAATATATTCTATCCTCACATTCATTCTATATGATATATTTAGAAAGCATAAAGATCTTTCATCTATTCATCAATTGTTATATTCACTAAATTATGATAAAAATGGCACAAATCATTTGATGATCAGTCAACAACCACTTCGAATTATCACTGAACTAAAAGCACGGATTCAACGGCTGAGAGAAGAAAATATGGCATTACGTCGGCTGCTTTTACGACGACCACTTGTACCGGTAAAGCATTCAGATCAAGAAAGTGAACAACGACCCATTTGTGTAAGTAAATTTTGAAGTACTTGGTTTTTAATTGTAGCATTATGAGTTCAAAATTTTTTATTTGACTAGACAAGTTTTAATCGGAAAGCAAATCTAAAACAAAAGGTGTAGTTTACATGAGTATGAATTTGCAAATAGTTGATGGTGCTATATAGACTCCATGTAATTGACTTTGAGTTAAGCTTCTTCGGCGTGGTAGTGATATCTCACAGCTTCAATAACTACATTAAGTGCGTTAATTTTCTGTTATCCATTCAATTGTTGAATTCCAAGACATTAGATTATTACTTAACTATAAGTAATGGTTGATTAAGTTAGTCTACCTTAATTTAGTAAACAGGTTATGTACCAATAATTTCTCTCGAATTATTTTTACATCAAGTAATTAACTGTTAATGATTCATACTAAAATATATCATCAAAATCAAATGAATTTAAAATTTTTATCCAACGTTGGAACAGAACGACTGGACGATTACAAACTATCATAGATTGAATTATTCTCCACAAAGTTGAAGACGAACTCCATTGATATAGGTTAGAAGGCATGAAACACAGAGAAATATGTTCTCATGGACTATTTCGAAAGATTTAGTACGATTTGCATTGTAGAATGATTAGCCAAGTAGCTGAATGATATTATTCATGAAATGCAAACAATATATCTTAAATGATGAGTAAAAGATTGAAAAGAAAGTAATCCATACCTACAAATAAGTAGAATAATTTTAAAACTATTCTAATCGATTGCGGCAACACCAATTAGTGCACTAAACTATACATAACTTTCTAATGAAAAAAAACATCCCACTTACGACAGAAAGTTTTAATAGTTGTTAGTGAATTTCTGAAAACTTGATAAAATTATATCTTAATTTGGGATAACTCAGTAGAGAGAACAGGTGACAAAGTATATGTTATGATTTTCAGGAATCATAATGAACAGTATACAATTGAGCCATTAATATGGAATTTCTTAAAATCTAGTTGTCAGCAACATACAGCAATATAGTTCAGTGATTTTTTTGACTGAATTATAATGAAAACCACTTTGTTTTCTCTTTTACAGCAACTTTCCAATGAACAATTAATGCAAAAATTGAAAAGTAAAGGGAATTCAGAAAGATTTTTATCAACATTTTAAACTTTTATTTATAAACATAGTGATTTTACGTGATCTTTCTTTAATAGCAAGAAAAAATAACTCCCGTTTAGAATACTTAACCAAGAAAATTACTAATACCGGTTTTGTTTTTCTAGAAATCGATGACAGATTCTTTTGATAAAATTTCATTGAGTTTTTAAACAAAAAAAAGGAAAAACTTATTCACATTCATTTCAAGTGTGAATTTAAACAGGAAGATAATACATCCTTTTATTTATGCTGCTGTCAATTTTCCCACATTGAAACGATATAATCAAGCAGATGTGTTAAATATTAATTTTCTTTAGTAAACAGTAAAGAATAAACAAATAACAATGAGATAAATAGTAAACAATAAAGTATGAAGTGTAAAAATGGATCAGTTTCAAGCACTATACTAACATTTTTTTAAATACACATTGTTAGTGGGACATAGATTGGATTAAAGCATGATTGCGTTGTTGCACGCTGATTGGCTCTTTCGTATCCAGTCAGCGCTAGCCGATGCTGAGGGAAAATTCTAGAATCTTCCCATGTAAGGAAACTATAAATAAACTAACGTCTTTTCCCTTTGGACCTTCTGTCTTCCATCTAACCTTGTTATTGGAATATAATCTATTTCCTGTTCAACCGTGGGAGAACGTCTCCAGTGAATCGCTATCCGAGAATACTAAACACTAGGGTTGTAAATAAAGAAGGAATTATAGCACACATCATTACCATCCAAAACGTAATTAAATTAAGAAGTTCATTTGTAAATTAATTAATGAATCGGATGTCGATTGGTAAAAGAACACAAAGAATTGAAAAATTATCAATAGATAGAAAATTATGGCATCTTTAGAAAAGGTCTGATGCATTAAACATGATTAAACCAATCTATTATCGATACGAATAAACACACTGAAAGCAGAATTAACGTGTTTTTAACAAGTAATCAACTATTTGATCAAGCATATTCACTTTCACGCAACGTTTGAATAGATTAAAAAACCACATAAAGGTTGTTTTTAATTAGACAAAAGACTGGGAGCATCAACACTTATTTCACAGTAGTTGTGAACAACGTTAGACACAAACGTTACTGAATGTAACAACAGTATCGCATCAACTTTTAAAGTTGCTTAAACGGTAGATTCTGTTCCGAGTTAACAAAAATTCACTATCCTCAATAAAATTCTTGTAATGTATACTCGGAATGACTATCGATTTTTCAGCATTTCTAATCTACCACCTACCTAATGAACAGTATTTGCCTTCCTCAAACCACATTTACCGTTTTAGTTAATATTTCGCGTATTATTTAATTAAAACTTTCTTAGACATATGATTTCAAGTCCGATCAATTACGCTAAACTATCATTTTACATCTGAAACACAATAATTATGTGTAGAAGGTTTCAAGAAGTTATTACTTATTGTTACAGTGAACATAAATCTAGTTAAGGATGTTTGAATAATAAGTAAATTTGCATAAAATTCGACTACCTTAAAAAAAAGATGGTGGATTTCGTAAGAGAAAACAGCCAATGATGATCATCAATATATTTATATATGTCTAATTGATATCATTACATAAAAATGAATATTTACAGATTTCTTTTATACACATGAGTTATGCAAAACGTATTTACAGATGGTACATAGATTAAGTTATAAACCATATTCTGCAAGCATATTACGTTTGGCCAAATCAGATGGTTTTGTGCGATTAACAGTTTGCTTCTTCTGAGGTTTATCAAATGATAAAGCAGATGAGTACCTGTTTTGATTATTTTTGGAAGTGAAGTAAAAACATGAAGAAATCTTTAGATGAAATCATTTTCAATGAAACAGCATAAAAAGAAACACAACTCCTTAATTCCTCGTAGCATATCTAATATGTCAAGTTAGTTGAGTCTTAGTTATATAATACGAATATGTATTATAAAGTTAATAACTAGAGGTTTTTGTACAAAAACCTAAGTTTCATGTCGTCTTGATCAAGTTGGACACATTTTCTGTCAAAATACTTTCACACTAACCAGCGTAACACATTTGGATACGCCACTTTCTTCAGTCAAACATTAATACACTTCAAATAGTAATCTGATGTTGACTCGTGAGATGGTGGAGTTTTTTTCTCTGAGCTGGATGGATATATATTCTACTGCAAAAATGTTGAAGTCATAGAAGTTTGGCACTCAGGTCAATCAGCAATCATCAAACATATTGAAATTGATCCGGTTTATCAATCAATCAGGAAGATCATGAACAAACAAAGGACCAATAATCAGATCTAAGGGAGACATAACAAAGCTAGAAATGCAGATAGTGACAGATTAAAGGTCTACAATAAACAATCGAGATAGACGTCGACAGGGAGAGCAGTTAGTCGATTTTGGGAGAACTCGAATACTACTTCACTTCCACCTAAAGTTCGTACTAATGGTGTTGCTCATGTTGACGTACAATATTATTTTGAAGTAATGAATTCAATTATGTACACTGTGCAATATGTTTTGAGATAACAAAAACGTTTTCAGAAAAGATCAACCTTTTCACTTGAGTTGAGCACGGTCTTACGTAACAGTCAAAGTATTACTGAATGGCATCGCAAAAGCTTCTTGAATGGTGCGCTACGAAGGAACTAATCGTAGAATGAGTGTTCGTTCTATACATTATTCAATGCAGAATTACAAGTCATTACTGAGACATTATTATGTCTACTTTAACTTACTTTGGTTTTCGTGATACTACTTCATCGCCATTTGAGCTTTCAAGACTTCGTTTCTTTCCTGTAGAATTCTTCTGTTTATCAGTCTTAACAAAACGACCTCTAACACGAGAAGCAACGTCAGATGGTTTCTTTTGCAAACAGAACGCTCTAGCAACATGCCCTAGGTGAAGACGTTTAAAATTGAATATATGTCGTAAGTCACCGGAAAAACTTGCATAAGAACGTAGAAATGATAAATAAGCCAATTCTGAAAGTGACGTCAAAGTGTCATCATTATCTACAGCTTGGAGAAATAAATGAAATAGTTGACTGGTTCCCTCTTCAACAGTTGTACAGTCATTTGGCTAAACAAAAAAAATAGTTGGAATAAAAATGTGGTTTATTGATATCGTTCAACAAAATAACTACATAAATAAAGTCTATAATGACAAACAACATTTCTCAATTTAGTCAAACAAGCGAATACTAAAATCAGAAGATATAATATAAAATCAAGTCTTTGTGTGAAACTGATTTCAAACACATTAAGTCATATGTAGAAAACTTCGGACTAATTTATTCCAGATGTTTTTAGTATTTCATTGAGTGAAAAATACTGCTTCTGCTTTGAAACAACGTATCATGCATCTATTAGATTGGTTATCATAGCAGAACATGTATTGGTTATAATCAGATCATTACCAGAAAGACATTAGTTTCGCACTAAAAAATGTTAAATTTTTGAATGCATTTTCTTTAACAGGATCCCATAAGGCATAGTTTCGTTTCTGTGCAATAATCCATTTAATAATTTTTATAAGTAACTTTTTAGTGTTTCCAACATATCAGTTAAAACGAAATTCGATTACGTGAACTGTATCTTATATTAATATCGACGGTACACAGGCTTCGTATACACTAACTTGAAATGCTATTGAAACAAAAAGGCCGAAGGTGAGAAAGAAGTTCTGTCGACCAAGCAAAATATGTATATTTATGTCCCTTAGTCATCTGAGACACACGTTTAACCAATGATGTATGTCTTTTTCCTTAAAAAAGGGAGTAAAATCTTGGCTAATAGGGTGAGTTTACTATTTGGCCGGTGTCTAGTTGACCGATTATATCAAAGTTCCTCGGTTTTAATGGTCAGAGGAGCAATTTATTTTAATAAACAGATTTAAAATAGATATAAAAGCATACCCTTTGCTTCCCAGGATGTTTAGTATTCTGCAAATGAAAAAGAACAGTTTGAAGTAGATCAGGTAAACTTAATTCTTTCATTTCAATCCCAACTTTTGACTTTAAAAGATCCATAAATTCAAGTTCCTCAGGTTCTAGAAAAAGCAATGCTTTACCATGACCTCCAGCTCGTGCAGTGCGCCCAACACGATGTACATAATCGACAGGACCCCCCGTCACGTGGTATTGTACAACCCATGCAACTGACGCTAAATCCAAGCCTCGACTTGCAACGTCTGTGGTGATTAGAACACCAGCTTGACTTGAAGAAAAGCCATTGAAAGCTGATTCACGCTCCTTAAAAAACAATGGTAGATTAAGATAATAGATTTACAAATTGTAAGAAAAACACTGAGTACAGAATATGACAAATATCACTACTCATACGTCAAGCGACTGACAAATAATTTCGTCTTATCAGGAGATTCAATCAACACATTTCTCCATAGCACTGAATTTTAAAAGACAATATCCATTATGCAAGCTTCTCTCCTGGAAGATGCAGTGTATTGTGATCGGTGTAAGACTTAAGAGAGTGGGCTATGTTTTGTACATTTGATTTTAGTTTTCCTCTTTTATATGAACTTTGATTCCTATTGGTTTCATTATATACAACCATTTTTTGTTGCCTACTTGCTTATGATATAAATCGACCCAGGTTGAACAGTTACTAATAATGATAAAGAATTATCACTCAAGTCTACATAATCTATAAAGACGTTTAAAAAATTTAAGTAATTCTTACTTTATGTTCCATGCTTCCGTGAAGCCGATAAATCGATAGATTCATTACGGGTATATTACTAATCAACTCTTCAGATTCATCGCATAATACAGACTGGAATAAATGATAGTGAAAGTCCACACAATCCTGAGTTGCCATAAATACGATTAGCTTGCCACCATTTTCATGATACTAGAAAAAGAAATCAATTTTATGAAGCACAAATTTAAAGGCTGCATGTAGATACATTAATTGCCTAACTGCACAAGTATGACAAAGTCAAATAGTTATTAATACATTAGGGGTTGTTACTAAATCAACACTTGTATTTGGATATTCACTATCGTCATTTGGAAATTCGCTAGGGAAAATCAGACAAGTTGGATTACTGTGAAGGCATATATGACTGACGTTTTAGGGATAATCTTCACTCATTAAATACATAAACTCTCGAAATTGATTACAGTTTTCTAGTGATTGGCAAGATAAGATAATCCCACTAGTGTTAACGTATCAAAAGACAATTTAATCGCTATTTTATTGACAGTTGAAGTATGTAAAACTGAGTTATATGAATACACTGCTTGACAACTACTAAAAATGTTACTTTTGAAGCTTTATGCATAGGGAAGTATTAGTGTTGACAGCTAGGACTTAAGCAAAATATTTTTAGGATCAGCATGTTCTATCGTCATGTTTCTTTACTAAAAAATCGAATGTTTCGAAACAATAATCTTTTAGGAAAGTTGCAAGTCCGTTGCTACATTAAGGCACAGTAAATCATAGAGACTCGTTTCTTTACTATACTATTGAGGATAGAAATCACAGACTGGTATATAAGTTGTTCACTTTTTGTTTTGAAATGGATATGTGAACGTTTTAATTGTAGTAGTGTAGTTGAATCACTTGACATTTAACTGGAGATTTCAACTTATTTTGCCGGACTGCCAAATAGGACTTAGTTACATGGACTTAAACGTGATTAATTAAATTTATTGGATGAACTTATTCATGTCCATAGTCCCCTTAATTACTTTGAAGAGAGTAAGAACAAAGATTAGTGGAGAATAAAACAAATGATTTTATTTCGCAGTTGGTAAGAATATAGCGAAATAAATGAATTCATTTTGTTCTGCACCAATATTTGCTTTAGCTCTTGCTAACTAATCGACCAGGTTACTTGGGTATACGTCACGCCCTAGGTGTAACGGCTCACGATACTAACCGGTTGCTATAGCCTAAGTAAAAAGGGGGGTTTAAACCTGGAACTTAGTGACCAAAAGCGGAATGCCTTAACCACCAAACCATTGTTCTGTGGTTACTGAGTTACATAGTACATAAAGAAATCAGTATGTATTGTTCACTAGATAAAAGGGAATAGAAAATAACTTACCTTACATTTTAGTAATAAGAAAGCTGCTAATGCAACAAGTCTTAATTTCAATGGAACAGCTAATACAAAATGTTTCAACCCTGTAGGAAGAGCGAATTCAGCAACATTATTTACTTGTGAATTCGACTCCAATTCAGAAGCACTTGTCATAGAAAGTTGAGTATTCGAAGTTTTCGTTTCATTTTCGCCAACCACGCAACGGACAGGATTCTTTAAAGTCATACCAGCAAGAGCTTCGACTCCTTTGGTTAAACGGAAAAAAGAAGATAGCAGTAAATCAATAATAATCATAATGCATATACTTATTTTCAGAACTTTAGTAGATTGTTTAGTTAGTAATGATGTAAACAAAATATATAATAAAATATACATCAAGGCTATTATCAGAACATTTGCGGTGAACAAAGTATTCTTTGGATAAACTATGAGCGTTATTTGGTTATGTACTTGCATTTGTTGGGAAAATCATACATACAGTACAAAGATGTGATGAGATGTACACAAATTGAATGAGAAGTTTTAACTTATAAATTGAGTAATCTTATAACAGTAGCTATGATAAAGTAGATACATATTTTACGCAACATCCGTCGAACACTCGCTTTGTCATACATGTAAAGTTTACATGATCCACTGGAGCGAATGATAGTTTTGTCGAGCCACTAGCAGGAAATGTACAAACTTGGAATCGAAACATATGGGAACTGGGTTGTGACATACTTTTCTGTCAAGTCAAAATGATAAAAAACTGTAAGAAATACTTATAAATTAGATTCCCCATAACTGTTGTGTTTTTACTTTTTTACAATTTACTAAGAACATAATATGTTATGTATTCCTTGCTATAACCTCTTCCAGTTATTCAATCAAATAAAATTAAAAAAATACAGAAAAACATACCCGGAGATAATGTTGCCGATAAGAGAACAGTTTGAATTTTTGCTATGGATTTTTTCTCCATTGAAAAAACATTGAACTGTTGCATTAATCCTTCGACAATTTGTCTAACATCTTTTTCAAATCCCATTTCTAACAAACGATCGGCTTCATCTATTACTAACCATTGTATTCTCCGAAGGTCAAGTGTGGAAGTATGTCCCATATGATCAAGAATGCGCTTTGGTGTACCAATTAGAATATTAATACCCTTTCTCAGACTGAGATTCCACGAGAATAACCGGTAAAGCGAATGAGATTCATAGAAAACACAGAAACAATGTCAATACTAATCATTATAGCAATCTTTAGTCAAAGCATGCTTTTAGAAAGGAAGTCAATTATAAGTAGAACCTGGTGCATATGTGCGCCAGCTCACACTGTCACACCATATCAGTACAGCGAGATGAAATGATTAAGATAAATCCTATAAATTTTTATAGAACAGAGAGAAATTTGAAAAATTAAACCAACAAACCTAAAAGTATACGATGAATTCCTGAAAAGTCGAGTAATGAGATACTGTGGTGCTGTGTTGCGAACTACTTATAAGTAGTATATAACGTGAGTGTCAACGTAAAGTCTGGTAGCATAATATGGGGGGAAGATCAAGAAAGGAAGAGTTAGAAACAATGGAATTTGTATGAAACGCATGAATAGTGACAATGGATTGATGTTTGGCAACAGGAACAGTCCAGTTCCATAGGATGAACTGATCTTTTGCAAATGAACGATTTACGATATGGTTTTCCGATTTTACTGAGTAACTCTGTAATTTTCGTTAAATACAATTCGGTTGCCTCCACCTGTGTTCTCATTCACTACAATACTTATCTTTGGTAAAAAGTTTATGACAAAACTAACTAGAAACGGAGGAAAAGGGTAGTGCTGACAAATACTCCGCAATGTGAGAAATTTTGATGATAGTTTTCCATGATCTCTGATTTGGTCGGTAGTTTTCGCGAAGGAAACTTGTACAAGGATAGTGTATTACTTTGGTACACCTTACAGTAACGAACACTAACATACAACCAAATTGGAATGATTGGTTTGACTAGATTTAGACTGGCTTTCTTTCAACTTCGATTTATGTTGTGGTTTATGCTTACGTAAATTAGATACTTTAGGAACATTTACAACTTAAAAAAAGACCAAACATATATCCGAAACCCCATCTTTTCAAAGGGAATTCGTCTCATAATTTTTCTGAGGGATTTCAGTGAAAAAAACCACTTATTTGCTTAAAATTTGATTACTTAATTTACATAATCGTTTAATCATCGTGTCACTGTCAATATCAAGATTAATGCCGGTTGAACACACCATTGTCCTTGAACAAAAAATAAAATACTTCACTGAATTTCTGAGTATGTGGTTCATAAATGTGAATAAAAAAGAAGCAACAGGCTGTTCTCATAATAATTTTATTCGCCAGACATTTTTAGTTTAAATAGCAAGTACATGAAATACTAGTAAGGACCAAAGTATTTATTTCATAATCATATTACTCAGGAGTCTCGAAACAGTTTCGTTTGCTTGATGCGTCGTGATGGACAATAGTAAATGATCACATCTACGTTTGATCAATCATTTGTTATCTGGCAAGTAATTCAATCATACTATTTTGGTTGAATAATTTAAATAATATAATATATATAATATTATATATATATATATATATATATATATATATATATATATATATATATAATATAAGTGGTAGCTCCAACCTCTCTAGTAATATATTCAGTAAGCTAGTCAGCGGTTATTTTCTGAAGCATTTTAGGTTCGAGACTGATCTCAGTTCAGTTACTTTAGAAATTATGTGAATCATGTATCTTAATACAAACAGAATATCAGACTAGTAACAACGTTTAGATCATATATGTAAAGTTTAATGACTACCACAGTTTGTTATTTCGTAACACGTAACTGGAAGCAAGGATTATATACGATAGCATGGTTAATTAGTAAGGATTGTCATTGAAGAATAATAACGTAGATTTCACGGTCTAATACTGATGATTAAATTAAACCGGAGATGGTTTTCAATACAAAGGATGGGGTAGTACTACTAACAGCCACATACACCAGGAAGTGTACGCAAAAATGTGAAACAAAGTTTTAATTAGTTATTGGATATATCCCATATTTGTAGAACAAATTAACAGTTATTTTGTTATGTTATTCTACGTAATCATAATACTTTTAATAATCCACCGAAAGCTAAACATAGTAAAACGTTGCCTGTATACTAACAGTAATTCAAAGAAACATACCTTGCTTTCTGAGATTTCCGTTTCATCCCTCCAACCAACAATCCTGGGACAATGCGTACACAAGCTTGTGACAGAATTTTGAAAACATCAAATGTTTGTGTTGCTAATTCTCTTGAAGGAAGAATAATTATCCCTAAGGGTCCATCTTTTCGTTCAACAGGAGGATCGAGGTTAATTAGTCGGTTAAACAGTGGGACTGCATATGCTAGCGTTTTTCCAGATCCTGTTTGAGCACGTAACAAAATATCTCTCCCATCAACTAGAGGAGGCAGTGCAGCTTCCTGAATAGCGGTTAGATAATCCATTTTGAAACGGTTAGTCAAGCACGTAATTAGATGTGGGAAGATATTCAACGACTGACACAAATCTTTCCAGTGTTCCAACGAAAAAACTGGTTCAATCTTGGGTTTAACAGGTTGGCTAAATAAAAGCAACCACAACCATATTAAGAAGTTCAGTAAATGATTTAAAAAAGCACTTAACATCATAATAGTGATTTAATGAATAAAACAGATGGTTGATTATAATTGGATCCCGCGTGGTTATGCTGTAGTTACTGCAGCAGTTGCATAGAATCTCTGAAGTTCAAGTCAGTTCGTCTAAACTGTTTGGTTAGGTGATCTTTTTTACTTACCAATGGACACACTGACTAGCGAACAATAAGCGAGACATTAACACAGTATCTAACCATGATTTGAAACTCATGCAATAATATGACACAAGTGTCTGACCGTACAGCAACACAATTAAGAAACTATAATATGTACATAACCCGGCAATAAGTGAAATAAATCCGGGGTACGAAGAAAATAATTAGCTAATGATAAATCTGGAATAAACAGCGATTCACAGGTCGACCGAAAGCTTAGCAACAGAGGAATAAAAAAGTACGATACAGACGTTCACTAATTATACAATGGAAATACATAAAATAGCCCTACATATGATGATACCACAGGTTATGATTGCATACTGCATGTCCTATAATAGCAAGTAAGTAACAAAATATCGTGTGTAGTCAAGAGTGGAAATAAGTCATTAAGCATTATGTTCGACCATCCAAGTTCCAAAATATATTTCAAGGATCTGCATTTGATTAATAAAAACATCTAAAATAATATCCCGTATTGGAACTGACTTACTGACAGAAGCTGGTAGTTTTTCATGGTGTGCTCATTTGAAAAACTCTCGAAATATAGTAAACATGTGCTCATTAAATAATATATCATATACTCAAGAAAATGGGAAGTTTTAATAGAAATAAAGGTCTGAAATGAATTCGGATAATTTCGCACTGAGGGAAACAATATAAAGTTATTGCCTTACATATTAAATGTATACACAAAACTGGTATAACGTCCTTGTTTGTTCTAGTCGTCTATGGAACCGCTACTAAAAGGATCAAAACCATGGTAAAACCACCGCAAGCTGGACTCCCATCATTTGAGACAAGCTTATCGGAAGAAGCTTCACAGAAAGCTGATGATGCTAAAATCTATAGTTTCACAAGAATACGTAGTGTGAAACCTGACCGGTTGACGAAGTATCACCATTATTGAAGCCTATTTTGATGTCACACTCATCTTATCACATAAATGTTAATGAAATCGCATCAGCTTCATGGAATTAAAATCGTGAGCTTAATACGAACTGAAAAAATCCATGATACAAGAAGAAAAAGTATCATTACCTCATCATTTTACTAAGCATATGCGTCTCAGTCATCTTTTTCTGTATACCAAACTGCAGAGAATTTTTCTCCGGCATAATCTTTTTATCAACTTTTTTAAGCCCTCCTTTTTTCTGAATAACGGATGCATTATTGGATGAAGTATTCGGAGAAGCACATTGTAACGAACTCGTGTTCAGCGTTTGTTTACTGGATTTGTCCTACTCGGGTTCGATGAAAATGTAAAGACGTACTACCTTTCGATTAATTTTGCTTTGATCATCAGCTTCCAGAATATTGAGGACAAAATCATCCATTGCAACGTAATAAACAGCACGACTTTTCGAAATTGTGTGCTCGGACACAAGGTCATATCAAGGTTGTCCAATATCCAAAATGTTTACCGTAAATTTGCATAAACTAACTGTTAACTTCACGTTGACTTTTCCTGCCTTATTACCGTTTCAGGAGTTCTTTAATACTTATCCGTTGATATTTTAGCCGCTAGATGGCAATGACTTCAGCCAGTTTGAAAGTTATTTCAGAGTTTGAATATAGTGCTATCTGAGGGCGTAAATCTCAGGTCACCAAAGTTTCTTTACGCCAACAGCTATGCCATTACTAGGCAAGGGATCAGCTAACTATAGTATGAATAATTATGGCGGAAAGTTACACAGTTATGGAAGACGGTCTTTTCAAGAACTAAATAGGTCGGTTAGTTAGTAAAGCAGTTAGTTCGAGATTCAAATCTAAGAACAAGAGCCCGGGGTTACGCAAAGTGAGATACCAATAAAATATCACTACTGAATAATGGCGACAGTAAAAAAGTTATGAGATATGACTGAAGTACATCCAGTTCAAGTAAGAATTCGTATTTCATATGAACTCACGTCTGCTCATGATTGTTTTCGTTGGCATGGCTGGGGACACTTCGTTTGGGAAATCATTCATAATGTTGCAATTCCGAATGAGGAAAACTTGAAGTTTATATCGCATTTTACTCTTTGATGTGCAACTTTTCAGGCGTTGCTTCGAAGAGCATATTGGTGTCACAGCAAGACGCGGCTTGGCGCATTTATTACCTAGTATGAAAGTCTCCATGTGTTTCCCTTTCTTTTAACACTATAAAAGAGTAATCATCAGCGTTCACCCTGTTATCCGCAGAGCTTGCCGCCACTTTACCTGGCTCAAAAACAAATAAGTGCGACAAACAATAGATTTTAGTGTCAACCATATGTATATATTATAGAAAGCGTCAAGAACGGTCACGAGGAGACTGTTCCCATTTACCTTCACCAAGCGAAAATTTGAAACTGCATTAGCTGAATCGAGCTAGTTTCTAAACTCTATGTGGTTACAGCCCGAACTTCGCTCTCACAGGATGTATCATTATTGAGATTTAGAAGAACAAGGAACTAGGATAGTCTCTGTGAAATTTTTGTTATCAAGATCTAGCAATCTGCATATATTCTGGTAACCTTGTTTTGAAACATCCTGTCCTCTATTGGCTATTGAACCCGACATAGAAATCTGACTTCACAAACTTGCCTGTGAGGAGTACGTAGGACACAGTGTCGATTTCTTTTGCAAAGTCGAAGAATACCACATGAATTGTTTGATCTGAGAACGTCGACAAGCTGTCTCAAGTTATAAAGAGGTTGAAGGCACGAAACCTGCCATTTTTGATGTTCCGAAGTGCAAAGAAGTTAATTATTTTAGTACGAACTGACCAATTAATTTAACGTTCTCTCTCTGACCATCTAGTCGGTTTTAGCTGATCAGTGACATTAGCATTGAAGATTTCTTCCATCACTGAATCGAGAAGATCATATCCTGTCTGAATAGGAAAAAATCTCATGGGCTTGTGTTCATCATTCAAACACCAAATCATGGAGATATTTTGAACGGAGTTTCCAATTACGCAGATAAATTGGTCTATGAATATTTCCTAAGGCCTCCGAAGTTAACAAAAAAAATCGCAAACTTTCCATAAAGCTCTACCATAAGAACTCTTCAAAAAGAAGGTTAGGTTAAAACATAGAACTTCGTAATTTAGTACATCAATCCAGGTTGCCATACGCCATGAACACAGAGACGCAAATGTCAGTTCAAACCCTATAGAGATAAATGAAGCATCAGCAGTAACGGAGAAGATTAAGACTCGAAGATATAATTCGAGAAGTATAATTCAGCGAGATAACCTTAGAAAGAGAAAGATAGAGATGATGAGGAATTCAAGAGGTTAGAATTTCAGAGAACACAACGAGTGGATACACCTGCGCCACTGCAGGTGATTTTGAGCCATGTTGTTTAAGGTCTCTAACCATCGATTACAATAATCTCGCGGACCCCAACCAGGTAGTCTACACTTACCGACATGACTCAGTCAGCTTGTCAGTGACTTCATGCAGTTGTGTCATGTTTTGGTCTGGCCGCCCCCAGCTTTCTTCCAACCTACTCCTACACCACAAAACATCGCCTGTCGAGGCAATCGGGCATTCGTAACACATATCCTAACCACCTCAACTGACCAAGTTTCACTACTTCATCTATTCATCTGTCATCTCTACCTAGTACTCGTTTCCTGGCGACAGCATTGCTTACAATCTACGAATGTCCTCAACCATTATTTACCATGTTTCGTATCCATATAGTAGGACGGAGCAAACTGCCACGCAGTAGACTCATCCTTTGGTTAGCAAACAGATATCTCGCCTACGCCATGTGTGACGCAAGTTGGCGAAAGCCAGTCGAGCTTTCTATATCCGTGCTGAGATTTTGTCAGTCACCAGGCCATCAGCACTGATGAGACTCCCCTGATAAGTGGAGTGATCAAGACGCTCGACTACTTCACTCCCTATCACTAGTACAGGTTCCGATGCAACCCAATCCTGAAGTAACGTTTTACATTTCGAGGGAACCGCATCCCGAACATGCTTGCATTGTTGCTTAGGGTAGTCAGAAGACTGCATTTTGTCATCGCCTTCACGATGTAGAACGATATCATCAGCATACTCTAAGTCAGCAAGCGTGTCTCTTAGTAAAAAGTCCACTCCTGAAAAGTCAGGCGAAGATAATGTTAACTGTAGAAGCATATCTACGACAAAGTTAGACAAGAATAGAGAGAGTGGACAGCCCTAATGGATACCACTTGAAACAAAGAATTCTGGCGACAGCTCGCCATATGCTCCCACTCGACCGGTAGTGTTCGAGTGGAGAGCCTATGTAAGGTTAATGTACTTCTTTGGTACACCTTTCAATAACAGACACTGCCACAGAACCTCGCGATCGATAGAGTCGAATGCCGCCTTAAGGTCGAGAAATATTACTTTTGTTGGGCGTCTGAACGTGTGTCTTTGTTCTTGAACCTGACGTAGTGTGAATATTCGGTCTTTACATCCACGTCCAGGTCTGAAATCAGTCTGCTTTTCTCGAGTCTGCTCTTCACGAGCTTTCTTTAAGCGTCGGAGTATTATTGAGGCCAATGTCTTCGATACTATACTAGTTGAACTGATTCCTCTGTGATTGTCGCAAGAGGACTTCTGTCCTTTGTTGTAGACTGGGACAATCAATGGTTGATACCAGTCAGATGAGATTACGCCAAGTTCCCAGCTTCTGCCTAATATCTTAATCAATCTAACTGCTGAAACTGGACCACTATCCTTAAAAATCTCAAGGGCGAGCCTATTAAGCCCTGCTTCTCTCCTTGCTTCAGATTTCCTATAGCTTTTCCAACTTCTTAAAGATTCGGAGGGATTACGTTGACTTGTCATTCAGGATGACTGGAGGTCGTGGGTAACCGAAGTGTGGCTGTAGGTCACTTGAACTGATACCTAAAGTGTTCTGCCCATCGATCCAATCACTTGGGTCGAGAATGGATAATAAGGTCACCCATTTCTGAGATAGTTTTGCTAAGAAATGCATTTTTAATACCGGTTGTGTTGATAAGTCGGAACAACAGAAGGAACTAGAAAAACAGTTAGGCGACCATTTAAGTGATTCCCATCCGGAGGCAGGTTGGAATGATATCAAGAAGGCTGTGGAAACAGCAGTGATATCTGCTAGTAAGGTAAACCATAAGGCTAGGATGAAGCCGTGGATTTCAGTCGCATCCACCGAATTGATGGATGCTCGAAAACATATCCGACCTGACTCTGAATATGATGAAGAGCAAAGTCAGCTTAGACGCAGACTTATGAAAAGCCTACGTAACGACCGCAAACAGTGGTGGGTGGCGGGAGCAAAAGCGATGGAAAAGGCAGCGGCGACAGGCAACACTAGACAACTTTTCCGCCTTGTTAAAGAAACCGGTATTAGGAACCGTAATGTGAGTGAGACTATCTCGGAAAACGATGGTCTTATTATCCATTCTCAATCCAGGAGACTGGACCGATGGGCAGAACACTTTAAGGATCAGTTCAACTGGCCTCGAGCCACACTTCGGTTGTCCACGACCCCCAGTCATCCTGAATGGCCAATCGATTTAAGTCCTCCCAGTCTACATGATGTTGAGAAAGCTATAGGAAATCTAAAGGGAGGTAGAGCAGCAGGTCCTGATAGGCTTACCTCTGAGATGTTTAAGAATGGTGGTCCAGTTTTAACGGTTAGACTGACCGAGATCCTAGGTAGAATCTGGGAAATGGACGTAATCCCATCTGACTGGTCTCAGTCGCTAATTGTCCCAATCTATAAGAAAGGACAAAAGTCTTCTTGTGACAATCACAGGGGAATAAGTCTAACTAATATAGTTTCTAAATTGTTAGCCTCGATTGTACTTAGACGTCTAACTAGAGCACGTGAAGAGCAGACTAGAGAAAACCAGGCTGGTTTCAGACCTGGACGTGGTTGTATAGACCACATCTTCACACTACGACAGGTCCTGGAACACAGACACACATTTAGACGTCCGACAATAGTCGTGTTCCTGGACCTTAAGGCGGCATTCGACTCAGTGGATCGTGAGGTTCTGTGGCAGTGTCTGTCATTGAAAGGTGTACCAAAGAAGTACATTAACCTTATACAAGCCGTCTACTCGAACAACACTTGTCGAGTGAGAGCATATGGCGAACTGTCATCTGAATTCTCTACATCAAGTGGTGTTCGTCAGGGCTGTCCACTCTACATTCTTGTTTAACTGTGTCGTAAACATCCTCTTAGAGTTAACATTAAGCTCGTCAGATTTTTCAGGGATTGACCTTCTACCAGGAAAGTCGCTTACTGATCTAAAATATGCTGATGACATAGTTCTATTCGGTGAAGACGCTGACAAAATGTAGAGTCTTCTGACTACCATAAGCAACAATGCAAGCATGTTCGG